TGGACTTTCTCTTGGCACGGCAACAGTGGAAGAAGATGGAGGAGGAGGTCAAAGGTCGGCCCATCCCCAAACCTGGGCTGAGGGCACAGGGCAGCTTCCAGGGCACCCACACCTCCCTGTACCCCCCCACCCGCAGCCCTCGCCTCAAGCACAGGTACCAAATTCTGCTTTTTCGTATGTGATATTTTTACTCATAATATAACTCACTTCTTGTACTCAACTGTGTTTTGCTGTACAGGGATGTCCAGGCAGCTGCAGCCGTTCCCCGGGAACCACCCCAGTCCTCCGCTTCATCCTCAGTTCAATCCTCGGCTCTGTCCTCCACTCTGTCCTCAGCTTTGTCCCCGGGCTCGGAGGACTCGGGCCTGGACGAGTCGTGGTACCGCAGCCCCCTGGAAGAGCCGGAGTCTGCGGTGGAGCGAGAGATCCGGCTCACACTGGAGAGAGAGGAAAAGCACCGCAGGGAGAGGGGGCTCATCCAGAAAGGCATCGCACTACCACGGTAATAACACATATAAGTATTTCAAAAATATTTTTAAAAAGAAAAGGGACAGAATGGAGAGGCTATGAATCATAACGTTACCAGCCCACTAACCTGATGGTTCAAACCCTACTAAAATGGTAAACAGGCTATTTTTTCAGACCAAGAATTTGTTTTCATACCTGACATTTTCAACTGCTCACTCTTCCTCAGAGTGGTCACGTAATTTTGCTGTGACATGTCCGCTCAGCTGATTTATAGGTTACAGGTTTTGGTGCTGTCTTCCTATCAGTGGTGGCAGGACAACAGCGCCATCTGCAGTCCGACTTCCTCAGGACAGTATCCCAGGACAGGTTTGTGAGAGTAAAAAAGCCCTCTTGTTCCGGTTTATAGCCCTGTGGGCACGTTTCCGTATTTCAATTGCCTCTTTAATTCAGCGACGATGTTTGTTTTTCGCCTTCGCTGTTTCCTTGTCGCATTCTGTCCTATGTTCCGTTTTTCGTCTACTGTTTTCCCTGTTTTCCTGATGTATGTTTTATTGCAGGGCATGCGGGTTATTTTGTATATGACATTATATTTATGCTCTGGTTCTATTTTGTCTTTTGGGTGGATGAGTAATTGCCTTAGTTTTCTGTATGGCTTCACTGGTGTGCTGATATTGTGCTTTCTCATTGCCCTCTGCACTTTTCCTGTTATGCCCTGATGTACGGTAATGTTACCATGCCTTTGCTCTTTTTATCGGTTTTATTTTATTTATTTTTCTCTCTGACCTATTGTTTTCCTTTGTTTATTGCCCATTTTGGGTATCAGTCTGGTCTGAGGAAGACCGCTAGCAGTCAAAACTGCTAGTTTGAAAACCAAACTCTTGGTCTGAAAAAAAGAACCTAATAACATAAGTTATCAAAAGACCAAATTCACATCATTGGGTAAACAGCTTTATTTCTAGAATGCATGGTACATTTCTACCTCCATGCTGGACAGTCTTAACACTTTATATAAAGAAAACTTACATTCTTACATCATGTGCGTAAACACGGGAGGTAAGAAGGCTCAAGTGTCTGAATGTGGGAGCTGGGATTGAACCAAATCATTTAAGGAAATAAAAATGCCCCAGTTGAAGCTGCAGTAGCAGTCGACCACCACCGAACATGGAGCACTTTGATGGGCTTTGTCAAAGCTGCAAAGCAGACAGGCCTGTTAAGTGTAAGAACAGTGTTATTATTATTATGAATCTGTCAAAAGAATACTGCCATTCTTAGTCCTGGTGCAAGACGCTCTTTACACAGCATTAAATACTGTAAATAAAACATGTTTTGTCTGAATTATGAGCACATGAACTTAAACTTGTGTCCAGGCCGTCATGTCTGCAGACCAGCCGCTCCCCGCCTCGCCCCCCCGCCTGTCGGACCCCCACTCTGTCTGTGTCCCCCTCCTTCTCCCCCTCCTGCTCCTCCTCTGTGCCCCGTAACTACCACGAGCTAACCGCCAGCAACGTCATCATCCTGGAGCCCGACACCAGCCCTGCCTCCAGGTCCCGCCTCATCTCCACGGCCACCGGCGCCCTCTCTGACTGGCCCGGCAGCTCCGCCAACGTGGTCGTCGTGGAAACCTCCAACCTGATCATCCGAAGTGCGTCGGAGTTCTGCCTCAACACTGCCCCCGTTGGAACAGAAACGCAGGTACAGTATCTGGAGCGCAAAATCTTAAATGTCCAAAGTCTTAAAAACATGAAAAACAGAACTTGTTCAATTTCAACAGTTTACAGTGGCTCCTAAGCATCACAATTATTCACTGCAATGAGTTGTGTTTTCAGAGTCCAGAGCAGAGTTTTGCCATTTCTTCTTGGTTTTAACCATATTTTTAAGTTCTGTCCCCACCAAAAACATGCCTGGGGTTGTGTTTTATTTCATTTGGATATGTTCCTTCTATTTAGTCCAGTGTCCTTCAGATGGAAAAGGCTCCTCCCTCACGGTCATACATCAGTTTATTGTGATGAAGTTCCTCTGTGTTTTTAAAGTTCTTTCACTTTTGCCACACTTTTAGCATGCTGGAGCCAGTCCCCTGTATTTTTTCCTCTCTCCAACCCTCCAACCACATTTAGGTGAGGTCAAAGCTTTGTTAAGAGACATTGTTGAGCGTAGAGCTGTGCCAAAAATCGAAAGATCAATAGATCGCAATCTTAGCTTTGATTGATCATGATGATAAGGTAAGCGCATTTTAATCGACAGATCTAAAGCCGAGCGAAGACTGACAAGGATTTATGCTGTCTTGTTTAGGAAAAAGCAGTCAGGGCCACTACGCGCCTCTTTGTTTCCTCACGAGTTTTCACATTCCAGAAGTTTTGACTTAAATCTGGACAATTTGAAGAGTCCAGTGTCTCTCTCTTCCTCTGTCTCTGTCTGACTCTGTATAATCTAGATCCTCACCTTTTCTCCTTTTTTTTCTCCTCTGGTGCTTCTTATCATTATTATCCAACTTATGGAAAGTAAATGACTAAACTTGAGTCAAAATTTAACACACAGGCATCGCAAGTGAACATATTTCAGCCGCTAATGGTTATGCGTGTATGCTTTTATTTAGGTTTAATATTTTGTACAAACTCATTCCAAACTTTAATTGTAAATTTCTCCAGAATTATTAGTCTGTTAAAAACTGTTGTGATCCTGACACACTGCTCTCACACTGTCTGTGTTTAATAAGATAGAGTAAGAGAAAATCGAAAATAGAGATCAACCAATATGAAAAAAAACACACAAAAAAACGTGGTTCTTTGTTTTCCCATATCGCCCAGCCCTAGTTGAGCATGTAAACCTTTTGGTGTTTTATTTTAGATCATAATTAGCATTTCAATTCAATTCAGAGACCACTAAAGCTCCTCTTTTACATGTGAGTGTGAGGAGAGCAGAAACATGACACTAACATCATGAAGTAAACATGTTTTAAAGGTGCATTGTGTAGGTTTTCTGCTTGAGGGTCTTTCAAACAGTTTTCGCCCTGGTGACATAGTTACTGCTTTGTTTGGAATGTTTCTCATATTGTATTAAACATTCCTGTCTTCATGGAAACCAAACCAGACCAAGTTACATGTCAGATCTGTGGAGAGGCAACCCCGCTCGCATTCAGAATAATGTTTTTCAAGGTTTTTTGGGCTATAAAACCAACTGTAATTGCACAGATGTAAGGTAGAGTTGCCAGAAAAGCTACAAAATGCACCTGTAATATGGAGATAGGCTTCACTATTCATTTGTTTGTGAGGGAACTTTCATTTTGACATATCAGCGAGACAAGTGATCGAGCTGTAACAGTACTTTTGTTCCTAGTTGCCATGACGTTTTCGCTTGTGGGCATGTTTTTGAGGACTAGTGACTATTCAAAAGAGTTCATTGGTATGGCAACGTCCTCATTTTCCATCACTCTCCATCCCATGGGACTTGTTCAGCATGCATATTAATTATTACACTTAAATTCACATCTCTTTGTGTTGTACTGATGGTTCAAATCTCACCCAAGAGCATTTTTCCAGTGCAAGACAACTTCCCCCACTTTTTCAAATCCAGTCAGAATAATTTGAAAGCGTATCTGAGTCAAAACCTGCTCAGAATCAAGATGTAAAATGGAAAAGGAATGAAATAAATCCTATAAATAACCACATTAGTCATTTCGGGTGCAAACGAGACGAGGTGTGATGACGGCACCAGGGCAAAGTGTTGGAAAAGCTGTGAACTGTGAAGGCAACACCTCGTCTGAAGACTCACACTGAGGTTACACTCGCACACACTCACACACGCACACTAAAACACTAAAACACACGCAGAAACAGATGAGAACTGGATTTAGAACCTGCACTCTGACACTGCTGGGAAAGACAGTGATCTGTACTTAGCCACAAACAGACAGAGACCTGTTTAATAGGGGTTTTGTGTGTACTTGTGTGTGAACTAAAGTATAGATAAAAAAAAAAAACACTTAGAAGGCAGAAAAAACATCTACAATAAAGTCATGCTCCTTAAATTAATTAAATTAATTGGGCAATGCATAACTTTCTGGAGGTAGCGCTTGTGTGATTCCATGGAAATGGAAAAATAAAAGTCCTATGGTGGCAGAGTCGTCATCGTCGTTTTGCAAGTCTCAAGTAAGTCTCGAGTCTTTGACCTTAAGTCCGAGTCGAGTCCCAAGTCAAATACAGGCAAGTCCAAGTCGAAAACATGTGTGAATGAAACAAAACACAACTCCAGGTCTGTTTCTGAGGTGGTAACAAACTTCTCAATCCTTAAATTGACCCTCATGCAGCACGGTGGTTCCAGCTCTTTAACTTTACATCTTTAGATAAAAGTGGTCTGAGCAATGTAACACGTGTCTAATCTTCTGGACTTGGATGTGTTGGTGTTTGTCAGGAGAGCACGTTCACCTCCAACCCATTCTTCAAGCTGCGTTCCCTGAGCAGCCAGTCCCTGGTGGAGCAGGAGATCCGTCTGGTGCGGCAGAGGGAGGAGGAGTGGAGGAGGCAGAGGGAGGATGTGTTCAGAGGGAGGAGGGAGAAGTACCACACTGTGCTGGTGTCCCCGGCCCTCACTGACAACATCAGCGCCAACGGTGAGAGCTCACACCAATACTGTCTGTCTATTGTCTATGGGTGTGCAAAAATATCAAAATATCAATATACCTTATCGTTTAATGTGATGATACAGTATCGATATCGGGGACTGCTGTATCGATATATCACCAAGAGTATTTTTTGGTATATTTTAGTAAATTATTTTGTTACAACGCTAGAGTTTTGTTGCTTGTTTATGGGAAGGAAACTCATTTATGCAACACATTTGATATTTTTACTGTTTTGATGATTAAAATGTTTGTGTTTCATATGAACTTTGCACGAGAAGTGACTTAACAAAGAATTTTATTATCACAGCCATCATTTAGCCTTTATTTTTTATTAAACTGTATCGAATTGATTTGAAATATATCTATATTGAATCAAAACTGCACTGTATTGTATCGTGGCCTGTGTATTGAGGTATGTATCGTATCAACAATTTCTTAACGATACCCAGCCCTACTATTGTCTGTATCATGGAGAAACTGTGCCCTCAGACAACCATGTGACTCTTGGCCATTGACAACACAGCTTCACAACTGATCATGTTTCTCTCACTCAAAAACACTTCCAATCTCTCACTCGCCTACCAGAGGCTGCATGTGTCCTGTGCAGAGCAGCAAACAACAGCCATAGTGACAGACAAAAGTCTGATCAATAAATAAAACATGCAGGCATAGAGTTGGTAAGTGTAATATCACTCCTGGGTCCAAGGCAGCATTGTGGCAAGATGAAAAAACAAAGCTACAAATCAGCTATGAAATTCAGATTAGACCTGGAAGTGATATCATCACTTAACAGCTCTTGTAGTTGTGATTCAACACGCAACTTCACATTGTGGAAGTCTTCAAAGTGATAATCAGCTTTTGCTATTCAATAACAGAACCAGCTCTTCTTAGAACACCTCATAAAACTCAGGTTCAGACACTCTCCTGACCAGAGTTTGTGCAGCAGCAATTTCCTCTTCTCTGGATTGTCCAGTTTGTGTCTCTTTTTCTCCCTGACTCTGGTGCTGTGGTCAGACTGTGCATGTGGTTTGGCTTTTTACAGGTTGTCTGCTAAAAAGGTCTCTTGATCTCTGACCCCTGCAATAGCATCTTCATGTGGACAAGCAGGTGAAAAGTTTCTTAGGGCACCTCTAAATAAGAGAAAATGCATCTTGCTGAAGGACACTGTTACTGGATGTGAACAGATTTTGACATCATCATTTATGAAGTAATGTCTCTATCATGTTTGGCTGTTGCTGTGTCCAGTTCCAGAGGTAGCAGACAGATGTGTGTCGTCTCCGTCCTCCCCCTCCAGGATGCGCAGAATGGAACGCTCCAGCCTGTCATGTGACCACAAGGTAAGCTTTATCTACTCTATAGTTTATTATCTACTGGACTAAAGCTCAAACTATATTCCTTGCATCCTAATCATTCACCCTGATGAGTGCATGAGCGCATTTCACATCAGAAATGAGCTCATGTCAGAGGTTTAGTCATCCCTGCTAACAACAGCTACCATTCTAACAGTATTGGCAGGTTTCACTCAAGTAACCCTAAGTCTAAATATAGGTTATGACCCGTACAATATGGAAAAGTCGAACTTTTCATACAATTTGGATGATTTTCGTGGCGTTGAGGCGATGAATATAATACATTATCTGGTGCTGCAGACCTCGTATTACATTGAGCCAAATGAAAGCCTTTCAAAGCCTGGAGCCGTACAACTATTTAGAATTAAAATCACCCGCTGCACTAGGATAATCTAAAATAATGATTAAAAAAAAAGCTTTTTGCGTGACAAGTTAGAAGCTGTAATGCAACAGTTTACCTGTCACTTACGATGCTTGTTGTTCTAAATGATTGCCCCAAAAAACTTAAACTTGAAAATATTAATTAATAAATTACACAATCCTTACCGGTTACAAAGTGGTCGCTGTGAACTCTAGCACTGTCTGTTTCCACGCCTCCTGTTTTTAGCCAGAGATTATTGATCCACTTTTTTTCTGTAAGTTTTTAAATACTAGCTCCCTTGTGACACACCACTTTCGGTACACGAAAAAAAAAAAAACAAACAAAAAAAAAACGTTTGTCTTTCTCCCAATTAGAGCGGTTGCAGCAACCATAAACTGCACAGAAATTAGGCATTTTCGGTGCTGAGTCAGCGGAGGTAAACGAGGTTCTACCAGTAAAGAAATCAGTAGAGCTAATAGAGCTTATCAGAAAATATAGACCAATTAAAATCTATCTTAACTTTGTCAGAAGTCTCAAAACAACATTCCTGTTCAGAATTCAAGTCATTTTAATTGTAGCCTGGTCTATAGTTTTGCTGTACATTTGTTTACATCCAATCTGTTGTCATTATCATGTCATACACTGCCACTGTGATTCTTTATAATTAATTTTTTATCCATCTTCCTCCTTGATTGATTTGTACAAACATGCACCTTTCACTTTGGTAAGTTCATCCATTAATCACTCATTCATTTGTTCATTTCATCTCCTCCATCTTCACCCGTGCCCAGTGGCTAAGCTGAGTGTGCCCCACAGTTCCCCTCCAGCCTGACGTCGGTGCCCAGACGACAGAACGCCATGGCACAGCGGTGGGAGGCGTCTCTGCTGGCCAATCAGAAGAAAGACTGAGCTGCGGGGAGCCAATCAGAAGAAAGGGGGACTATACTTACTCCGCCCACTTTTCCTCATGTAACCGCTCCTCTCTGTACCAGCAAACATTGAAGCAATGGTCAATGTTAGTGTTGTATAGACAGTACAACAGGCGGAACAGTGGACCAGGGTAGAGCGTTTTGATAGGTTTTATTTGAAGATGCCTGTAAAACAAACTGAAAACATCACAAGGCGACATCCTGTAGCATTTAGGCTTTAGTTCATGTAGCACTAATGGTGCTTTTGATTATCGATCCGTCACCCACTCGGATCTCAGATATGATGTCACGGCCACACTTCGAGCCTTTAATAATGTTTTGTGCACAGCTGGACATAGCTAATGCCGTAGCCGTCCCTTTCCGGTTTCCCGAGTTTGACTTGAAGGAAAATATGGACGCCAACTGGAAAGCTGTTATTGTTGTTACTTATCTTCTGTTAGCATAGCCTGATTTATCAACTGGTTTCACTTCGTTGAAACCCTCTGACCTCGCAGCATTAGAATTCGTTCGCTCAACGGTAGGCGAGTACTTTTTTAAATTTAACCAATTGCTGCTGTTTGGTCGTGATGTATGTAATGCGCCACTAACGGGGATAACTGGTATATTAAGGTTTTCCCAAATCCCATAGAAAAAAGGGCAATAACGTCTTTCTCCTTGATAAACTTCACCAAACATTCTCTTTGTTCCGGCTTTAAATCCTCGATCTCGGGAATCGTTGCCAACACAGAATATATGGCTCTTCGCTGATTGGCTGGTGCCCGAACTTGCACTTCCGGGGTTTTTGCAAACTGTCTAGTGTATTCTGATTCCTGGCCTAGTTGCTGGAGAGAAATGAAATTGAGACACTAGGTGGCACCAGCCTGGCTATTGTTAGCAGCTGTTTAAAACAAGTTTTTGTTAAATATTGGCCTCACCACAACACGACTAAGAAAAACCAAAGGCAGACGCAGTAAGGTATTGCAGTGATACAAGTGACTGAAAACGAGTAACTGAAACTGTCATATAAGTCACCAAAGCATCCAAACACAATGAAAACAGCTCATACTTAAAAATTAAACTGGCCGCAACCATCTTGGATTCTATCTCGCAAACTTAACTCGGTCTCCTCTGAGTTCTTCTGAATTCCGAGTTGCGGTGTCTGAGGAAAAGGGGCGTGTCAGTGCGTGTCGCTAGGCAATGTCCTCGATTCTCAGAGTCAGATAGACAATCAAACCTATTTGACCTATTTATACTTTGCAGTTACCATGGTGACACAACGCACACACTGAGGAGTTTTTCTTATATTATCTGAATACAAAATTGACTTAAACACATTTTAAAGAAACCTCTGTTCCGTCCTGTTTAGGTGTTTGATTTTACACAAAAAAGGTGAAAGAGTCAGTTCTTTATGGTCAGTTTGTGTTAAAAGTAAGTACGGCAGTGTGACGTCACCCATAACGTAGAGTGACCAAATGTCCTTATTTACCTGAGTCCCAGTTTTGAGCCCCGTCACCCCTGTCCCAGCAGATTTATACAAAACCGGAAGTGCACCCATGCTCACTTCCTGTTTAGGATGTAGCGGCAAGTGCGTTAGCTATGTCCATGCACTAGTACAGTCTGTGCTCTGACACCAAATTAGCGTAACTAGAGCCTAATACTATTCATCACAGAATGTTTACCTTCGCAACTGGTCCTTTGTTCCGCTCATTTTACTGTCGATCTGACGTTTTGATATTTGTTGAAAATAAAATACACACATTCCCAGAAGTAGCCATATTTTACTGCCAGCTCAACTTAATTTAAAACTACATCTTGTGAACACGTGGGCACTTTATCTTTAGCAGAAACCGTCCCATTTAACAATACGCCGTTATTATCGTCCATTATTTAACCAAATACCGTACACGATACTCCGTTGATGTCATATTTACAGCACTTTAACTGATAAGCAATGAGCATCCTGTACATTTTCGAGCTATTTATTCATATTTATTTGTGATGGTATGGATATGTTGACACCCGGAGTCCAGTGTGCATTTTTACATATTTGTACTTGTCCAGTTTACCCTCAGAGAAGTATATTGTATTGTATTTTTGCTGCATACAGTATTTATGGAATTAGCAACGCTTCGGAAATTATGATATTTTATTGTGTACGGATGAAGATATGACATTGGTGTAAGAGTGAAGAATGCTGATTATGTTGTTAAATTTAGTTTTAGTTTTTATTAATTTCAGACAGTAGTTATAAGTCAGGGTGTGTTCAAGTCAACTCAGAAACAAGAACTCTTACGGATTTTAAACTAGAAGATTTTAAACCTAAAAATTATGAAGATATGAAATTGGTGAAAGTTTGAAGAATGCTACTTATGTAAAATTTTGTTTTAGTTTTTATTTATTTTGGATATAGAAGTTATAGGTCAGGGTGTGTTCAAGTAAACTCAGAAACAAGAATTCGTGTGGATTTAAAGTAAATTTTGAATGCAAATTTTGAAATCTAAAAATGATGAAGATATGAAATTGGTGAAAGAGTGAAGAATTATGTTGTCAATTTAGTTTTTATTTTTATACATTTTGGATATAGATGTTTTAAGTCAGGGTGTGTTCAAGTCAACTCAGAAACAAGAATTCATGTGTATTTTAAACTAGAAAATTTTAAAATGCAAAATTTTAAACCTAAAAAATTATGAAGATATGAAATTGGTGAAAGATTGAAGAATGCTACTTATGTTAAATTTTGTTTAAGTTTTTGTTTATTTTGGATATAAAAGTTAAAGGTCAGGATGTGTTCAAGTCAACTCAGAAACAAGAATTTTTTTACGGATTTAAAGTAAATTTTAAATGCAAATTTTTAAACCTAAAAATGATGAAGATATGAAATTGGAGAAAGTGTGAAGAACGTTACTTATGTTGTCAAATTTAGTTTTAGTTTTAATTTATTTTGGTTATAGAGGTTAAAGGTCAGGGTGTGTTCAGGTGAACTCAGAAACAAGAATTCTTACCTCAAAACTTTAAATCATGGAAATGAATACAAAACCACATTTATTTTCATTTTATTTTATTTTTCATACATATTGTCGACAATCATTCACAGTTAGTACATTATAAACACATGTCATACAAAACAAGGCTACACATTGACAAATATTCAACATGTTTGGTTTGATTTGAACGGGTTTTCTGAGATGAACTGAATGCACCAACCATTAGCAGTTAGCATAGTTTGTTTAAGCAGCTAATGCTATTTGATTAGCGATAGCCACACTTGTTTATCTTGTTTATTTCTGTTCATGTTAGTTTAGTCCTACGCAGTTACGCACCAAGTGTCCTGATAGGCATTATTTATTCTTTATTTATGTATTTATTTAATTTTAGTTGTGTGTAATTTATCTATTGCCAAATTTAAGTGTGTTAACGAAATGCAATAAAGGGTGAATTGTGAGCGGGACGGTGATTGTCTTATTTATTTGTCTTTGGAAACAAAACATGTGATGACAACTTCCAGCGGTAGAAAGTCTGACAAAATCTAGGAAAAATTGAGAAAATGTCCCAGTTTTCTTGTGTCATTGTAGCGTTCTGTTATGTTCAGTGAATCAACAATTACAACCACACCTCAGTTTTCATCATTTCTCCACTGACGCACAACTCCGAGCGCACTGGGTACATGCGATTGGAAGAGAGGAGATGATTCCAAACAGCACGTTTTTTTTTTTTTTTTTTTTTCCTTCCCAGATACAAACAAAAAGGCACCATACAAAGATCACATCTAAACCTAGTAAGATAAACAAAACAAATCACAGTTGTGAGGAAAAATCAAAACAAAAGTACATTCACGAACCATGGGGGCAAATTCTAAAGCATGTAATCAAAGGAACAAAGCATGTAAAAAAAAGGAACAAAAAGATACAAGAAACCCGACTCCTCTTTTTTCAATCAGGTTCAATGAGTCAACAAAAATTCTTAGGTCATTACTAAAGTACGTTATATTTGGTTTTACCTTAAAACATCGACATTTGTGAATAAAAGATTTACCTAAGATTAATAAATTATTCATTCCAAATACCAAATTTAATTTCTTTTATTGTTAGGGGGGCAAATTTAATTCCCCTGGACTGAAGCAACAGATGAAAATCAAACCAAAATTGTTTTAACAGCACATATGTATGCAGTCTTCATTTTACCGCTGATGACAATCTGTGTATCATTCGTTCATTTGTTTTTCAAAATAAAAACAAAAATAAGAATGCAAAAAAAACAAAACACACACAAAAAAACAACAACAATTTTCTTCATTATTTGTCTCCAAAACCAAAATGAAAGGAAAAAAAAAAAAAAAAAAAACGGATAACGGCCGTTGTCATGACTTAAACTGTGATGCCGGACTGAACCAGGACTGAATCAGGACTGAACCAGGACTGAACCAGGGCTGAACCGGGACTTAACCAGAACTGAATCAGAACTGAATCAGGACTGAACCAGGACTGTGTGAGTCACCCATAGCATTCAGCTCCATTCAAATGAAGCTCATCGATGCTGGCAGTTATAGGGGCTGAGTTCCATTTAAGGAAATAATTTATGGACAAAATAGCAAAAAAACAAACAAAACAAAAACAAAAAAAACAGCAGGATCATGTAGAGCAGTTTAATATAAATATTTTAAAACCAAAATCATGAGGCTCACAGCAGCAGTTACAGAGAGAGGGGTGACAATTTTTCAGTGTAGTCAGTAGCAGCCAGAGTTGATGGAGCCAGAGCGTGTTAGCTACATGTCGATTTATAGTCCATGACAATGACCATATCTCACTGGACTCGTCACCACTGAAGATTCGTCACACAGCAGGACACAGGTCTACTCCTCTCCATGACCTATGCACATAAATCACAATATTTATTACATTTTTTTAAGAACTTAAAAATAAAAGTGACAGTGAGCTAAACAATCCGTGTATCATTCGTTCATCCATTTTTCAAAATAAAACCAAAAATGAGAAAACGAAAAACAACTATTTTCTTCATTATTTGTCTCCAAAACCAAAATGAAAAAACGGATAATGATTGGACTACAGGCTACGGGGGCTGAGACTGAGACCGTGACCAGACCAGGACCCGACCGGGACTGAGATCGGGACTAGACCGGGACAAGATCAGGATTGAAACCAGGACTGAGACCAAGACCAGAACTGAGACCAGGACCAGGACTGAGACCAGGACCAAACCGGGACAAGATCAGGACTGAGACCAGGACTGAGACCGGGACCGGACCGAGACTGAGACCAGGACCAGAGCAGGACTGAGACCGGGACCAGACCGGAACAAGATCAGGACTGAGACCAGGACTGAGACCGGGACCAGACTAGGACTGAGACCAGGACCAGGACTGAGACCAGGACTGAGACTGGGACCAGACCAGCACTGAGACCGGGACCAGAATAGGACTGAGATCGGGACCAGACCGGGACAAGATCAGGCTGAGACCAGGACTGAGACCGGGACAGGACTGGAACTGAGACCAGGACCGAGACTGGGACTGAGACCGGGAAGAAACCAACACTGAGACTGGGACCAGGACTGAGACCAGGACCAGACAGGGACCAGGACTGAGACCGAGACCAGACCAGGACTGAGATCAAGACCAAACCAGGACTGCGGCTGAGACCAGACCAGGACTGAGACAAGGACTGCGGTTTAGTCCTGGTTTAATCCTGGTTTAGACCTGGTTTAGTCCTGGTTCTGTTCTGGTTTAGATCTGGTTTAGTCCTGGTTTAGTCCTGGTTTAGACCTGGTTTAGACCTGGTTTAGACCTGGTTTAGACCTGGTTTAGACCTGGTTCAAACGGCCGTTATCCGTTTCTTCCATTATTCATTTAAACACAAAATCGAAAACTAAAAAAAACAAATCATTATCCGTTTTTTCATTTTGTTTTGGAGACAAATAATGAAGAAAATAGTTGTTTTTTCATTTTCATTTTCTTATTTTTAGTTTTATATTGAAAAACGAATGATACACGGATTCTAAACTAAGGTATTATTTGGTTTCCTATATCACACAATAACACTAGAACATGTGTGTTTGGAGGGAGCAGTGTCATTAATGAGATGAATCAGACCTGGCTCGTGTCCACTTCACTTACACTGGTCATCGTCACGCTCAGGAACATCAATATAAAACCTCTGGACACATGTAATTTACTGTACGCCACTCATGTCATATTTTCTTAGTTAAACCATGTAATTAAACTGTTTGGTCAATTGTAACTATACACTGGCCACTAAAGCAAATTATAATAGAGTTAAAGGCACAGTCACTTATTTTTTCCTGTTTTAAAATGTGAAAAAACAGGACTAGTTAATTTGTAATAGTTTGTAGTGGTCCAAAGTTATTCCTCACTTAACTTTTGCATTCAGAACATCCTAATTATTCACCACGATGAGTTTATAAGCAATTTTCACAACTTTCAAAGACCAGAGAGGACAATAAAAGCTTTATAATTACATACAGACAGAACACAGTGGACTTATTTTGACCTCAAGAGCTTCTACTAATGTACTAAATTATGTTTGTGACGATAAAAGAGCTCATATTAAACTATTTTCTGATCTGTTATAATGTTGTTTCTTCATCACAAACAGACCTGGAGTGTGTTTTGTTTCATTCACACATGTTTAACGCACAAATCCTGCATATTCAGGCTTTAGGAGTTCTTCTCTCAGAGTGGAAACACTTAAAATAATCAAAATATCGTGATATCGTATCGTCAAAAGTCTCTCAATAAGATCGTGGACCGTCACAGTGTATCGAATCGAAGTTTCTTTGCTTAAATTCATTGTTATGGTGCAGCAGTAGCTAAAAAACCAGAGGGAACTACATTGACCATGATCCTTTGCTCCGTTTTGGTGCAAACTACATGAAGAAATAACAGTTCTAAGCACTTTTAAGTCTTAGTTCTTTGGATTAAGTCTTGTCAAGGCATTTTAAGAGGAAAAAGTAGCATTTAAGAATTCACAATTTTGTAAACCTCCACAAAATATAATAAAGACATTAAACACCGTACCGAGAGATGTATATCGTGAAAATATCGTACCGTGAGATTTGGGATATTGTTACATCCCTACCACATTGTGATATCATGTGGTTGTGTTTTTTAGAGCCCTGACATTACCAATCTCTACTGAACTAAATGTAAAAGGAGCTGTTCACTTGAAAACTACTACTTCATGACATCACAAGGTGGAACTAAGCATTTTGAGCTTTGGGGATGTAAACAGACTAATAATAAAGCGTTACTCAAACATGTGTGAATGAAACAAAACACAACTCCAGGTCTGTTTTTGATGAGAAAACAACATTATAACATGACTTAAAGCTCATAAAAGTCCATTAAGAGTAAATATTTAATGTCATAATAAAGTCTTATAACTGCACTGTGCTCCCATGAAACATACTCGTTGTAATGTTGTTTGTCATGAGGTGTAATTAGCCCGAGCTGAAGCTTTGAAGCAGCTGAACATGAAGCGTGACATTTCCTACAGACACTGAAGTAGTCATGCTGTTTACATCCATCACACTTTATCACTGTCTCATCAGTACATTACCCGAGCTTTACACTGGACAAGGGTTAACACCGGACAGAGTCAACACCAGTCTAGTATCAAAAGGAGTCCAAAGCATTTATACAAGATTGATCCAAACATGAAGTTATTATTATTATTTATTCAACTTTTTATTGTGATGTTAAAGGTCCAATATTACACAAAATTGACTCTTGTGAGCTTTAAGTCATGTTATCATGCTGTTGCCTCATCAAAAACAGACCTGGAGTTATGATTTGTTTCATTCATACGTTTAAGTAATTGTTTATTATTAGTCTGTCTACATCTCCAAAGCTCTCTTCAACCTTGTGATGTCATGAAGTGGCAGTTTTTAATGTTAAAAACAGCTCCTTTTACCTTTAGTTCCCTAAAGATTGGCAATTCCAGGGCTGAAATTATCCAAATGATTCTAGTGAAGGTGTATGAGGTTTAAAAACACAGTGAAGAACTTCCTGTATGACATCACAACGTGGGACAGAGTGTTTTTGGTTTGAGAGAAGAACTCTAAAAAATAAAAATGTAAGATTTCTGTGTTAAAACATGTGTTACACAAAACAAAACACAACTCCAGGTCTGTTTTTGATGAGAAAACAACATTATAACATGGATAAAAAAAAATAAAATAAAAAAAAGGGAAAAAAAAAAGCATAATATGGACCCTTTAAGAGCAGTTAAAAAAGGAGCGTTACTGACGTAGTATTTACATAATGTGTCCAGCAGAGGGCACTCTATATCAGAAGGTAAATGGGATAATGTTGGAAAATACAAGGTTGAATAAAAAGTTAGACTTGGAATAATTAAATTAATTAATTAAATTAATATTACACTACTTTGTGATCTGTTATAATGTTGTTTCCTCATCACAAACAAACCTGGAGTTGTGTTTTGTTTCATTCACACACGTTTAACACACAAATCCTGCACATTCAGGCTTCAGGAGTTCTTTTCAAACAGAAAACACTCTATTCCACCTTGTGATGTCATGTGGTAATAGATAGAAGAAGTGCTTCATTGTGTTTTTAAACTCCATACGTCTTCACTAGAATCATTTGGATCATTTTCAGTCCTGGAATGTCCAATCTCTACTGAACTAAAAACAAATGGTTGCTCAAAACTACCTCCTCATGACATCACAAGGTGGAACAGAGCATTTTGAGCTTTGGAGATGCAGACAGACTAATAATAAAGAGTTACTCAAACAGGACATGACACAAAACGCAAGTCCAGGTCTATTTTTGATGAACTAATATGACTAAAAGTTCACATTTGAGCAATATAAGACCTTTATTATATGTCCTCTTCTTGAATTACACACATCTGATATCCAAATAATTTATGCTGATTTTTTTCACTTTTGTATTTTATTTAGTCAATCTTATTACATTAATACAAAAATGTAGTACTTTCACCAGTTACATTTTTACTTTGACTCAAATATATAAAAATATGAGAGTATTTTTTTCAATTTGACTCATCATCTCATGTTCTTTGCTATTCCAAGATTATCAAACATTGAAGAGTAGATTTGTAAAAGTAAGTGTGTAGTTACAAACATTCTCCAGAAGAGGGCGGTAAAGGAAAAGCACAGTAATCTAGTACAAAGTAAGTAAAATATTGCAGTTAAATCAAGCTGCCAGTCACACAGCTGCCAGTCTGAGTAAAACAAGCTACACAAAACACATATATTAAAAAAGCTGCACCATGTAACTTTATGGAGTAAGTAAAAGTACTGAAGTAACTGTTTAAAGTGTACTTAAAGAGTAAAAAGCATTTCATTCAGGTTTTGAAATCTAATAAAGCTTTGAATGTAGTAATTTGGATACAGATTTGTGCTGAATTTGCTCAACAGAAACAAAACATGTCGTTTTTTTTCCAAGCTATTTTTATAATTTGTACCGGTATATTTTTGTTTGCCAAAATTATGAAATTAAATTAAATCTCCTCATCCTTTTCAGCAGGTGTTACTTTTAGTTTTCAGTCCAGTTCAAAAATGTAGTAGAGTAGAAAGTACAGATACCTACTCGCACATGTAGTGAAGTAAAGCAACACTTTCAAAAGTATTTAAGTGTATGTATTTAAGCAAATACCTAAAATGGATACTTACGTACAGTACTTCAATACTTTTACTTTGTTAAGTTGCACCATTGATAACAGGACTATTCCAGGGCTAAACCAGGTGGATAAAAAAGTGGATAAAATGAACTTTAGGCAAACCCACAAACTGAAGTGGCACGTAGAGCCTAAGCACCACCAGTGATACTGCACGGTAATGTCTGAAAGTTCTGTCTCCTGCCGATTTGAGGTACAGTGAAAAACTTTGGTCATACCAGGTCTTATCCTCTACAACAGGTGTTTCCAACCTGTAGCTCAGGAGCTGCCAGTAGCTCGCCACCCCCTTCAAAGTAGCTCAACAAAGGATTTCAAAATGCAAAATTTTAGGGTTATTTGACCATTTATGTGGTTACAGTACCTTAATATTTACAGTTACATAATTTCACCAATAGCTTTTCTTAACTAGGGTGTTTTTTGGTAGCCTGATTCTTCCGGGTTCACTTTGTAGAAACCGTCTGACCTAGCAACATTAGATTTCGTTCACTCGACAGTAGGCGGGTACTTTTTTTCATTTAACCAATCGCTGCTATTTGGTCATGACGTATATAATGCGCCACTAAAGGGGCTAACTGGTATATTAAGCTTTTCCCAAATCCCGTAAGAAGAAGGTCAATAACGTCTTTCTCCTTGATAAAATTCACCAAACATTCTCTTTGTTCCAGCTTTAAATCCTTGATCTCGGGAATCATTGCCAACACAGAATATATGGCTCTTCACTGATTGGCTGGTGCCTGAACTCGCACTTCGAGGTTCTTGCAAACCATATAGTGTATTCTGATTCCTGACCTAGTTGCTGGAGAGAAATGAAACTGAGCGGAGGCACTAGGTGGTGTCAGCCTGGCTAGTTTTTTGGGCCCTGAGTTGTGGTTGGTCCCTATCAACCTGTGATGACCCAAGATATAAGATAACAGGAAATAATAATGAACAAAAAGGTAGCGAAAAACATCCTGAGGAGTGGACCTGGCTCCCGAAGTACACATCACAGTTTGAGAAACATGCTGTGTGTTATATGTTTCTACAGATCGGTTTAATGATACTATCTCTACCTTTAACAAAGTTCTGTCTGTAAACGTGCAGACTGGAAAGTTAAGAACGTGGTTTTCAGACAGTCCAGTCGTGTTTCTGTGGTGTTTGTTGTGAAAAGTTTGCGCGGGTCCATCAGTGAACATGCTGTTAGTCCATGCACATTCACACTACACCCCTGTGAGTCTACGACAGCGTGCAGCAGTGCGTCTCCTGTAGCTTCCTCATACCTGGTCCCACTCTCCTCGCGCCGCGGCTCTCTTTAGCCCCGCCCGCGCTCCCATTTGCCGCCTCCTGCTTCGTCTCCGTCTTCTCCTTCCCATAATCATCGTCTATTATCACTAGCTCCGCCTTCAACGCTCCCTCGAACTCCTGACTCAGCCTGCAGTCATCCGCCGCCGGCTGGAACCCCATAAAGACGGCCGTGATTGGCTCGCCCGTCTCCATGGCGTTGATGATGGTGTAGTTCGTGTCCTCGGCGAATATGGGCGAGGGGGCGGGACTTGTCCCGTGAGATGGCGACTGCGGCCTATAACAAAGCAGCTCGTCTTCCTCGTCCACGCTGATGTAATCACTCAGAGGGATGTCGTTGGCCGGGGTGTAGCTGAGCTGATGGGGGGACACTATTTCCTGGTCGTGTGATCGTGGCGAGGGGCAGCGATTGGCTCGGTTTGGGGTGAAGCCGTTAGCGTGGTTGTTTCGGTAGGAGCTGTACCCGTTGCTGTGGAAACTCTGGTGTCTGCGTAGCTGGTGTGAGGGGTAGTGGTTGTTGTTTTGGGGCAGTTTGAAGCTGGTTCCTCTCTGGATCTCTCTCCCGCTCCTCTTGTGCTGGTTACGGCCGGTGCAGTGGTGGTCAGGGGCCCTCCAGCAGGTCTCCTCTTCCCCCAGGTATGTGCAGTCTCTGGGGGACAGGTGGTGGGATTGGTGGCAGTAGGAGGCATGTCCGTTGTGGTGCAGGTTCCTCTGGCGGTGCATGGTGGCGTTCTTGAGCAGCTGTTCCACCTCTGAGGCTGAAAGCTCCGTCACTCCGTTCTGGTCTGAGCCCTGTCACACATACACAGAGGTTCACACTGAGACATTTGTTCATAAAAGTCATGCAGTAACTATTGCAATATTGATATTGATATATTGATATATGATATTGATATATGATATTGAGAGAGTCAAAACTAGGGTTCCCACTCTTTTTTACTGACAAAATTTCAAAATTTTTCCGTGAATTTTTCATGACCTAAAGTGAATTTTCCATTACTTTATGGCACCTACATGTGTAGAATTGATCAGACTTTTAGGGGTAAAATATGAAACATTAACAATTCCACTCACATTATGGTTTGGTGTTATAGTTTTTTAATATTCAAAATACTGTCAGTGCATTTATTGTCGTCTCTTTTAAACAAAAGGTGCATACATTCGGAAATAATCATAATATCTTAATGATAACTTAACAGAAAGCTGTAGTTGCGTGAAAGTGATACTAAAATACTCCTGTGCAACTTATATATTAAAACTTTCACCCTGACAGCTGCGAGAGGGTGCTCCAGGCTTGTGTATCAGGATTTTCTACTCCTGTACCACTGTCTCTTGGCGCCCTATTGCGCATGTGCAGCCGAAAATGGTAATCAAGCAGCAGAAAGAAAGTTTGGAGTGAGTGCGAAACTTGTGAGGGACTGGTGGAAAGCAGGGATGGAGAACACAGCTTCATGGCAACCGGGAGGATACACCATGCAACTTTCCTGGAAGTCACTGGATGGATCGACAAAGCCTGGACTTCAGTGACACCGAAACCATCCTGTCGGGATTCAAAAAGGCCAGAATAATTCTAACTGGAACTGATGCTGAGTCTGACGACAGCTACACAGAAGAGGAAGCGGCGCTCTGTTTACCTCCAGAGGTTGTGGAGTTGCTCAGAAGTGACACCAAGGATGAAGAACTCAATGGATTTAGTGATTTGGAGTGAGATGGAGAGTTTGGTAAACTTGTTCTGTTCTGTTGTTTATGTTATATTTATCTGAAGAACTGTTCATATGTGACGTTAACAGTCTGTTGTTCTCTGTTCTATTGTTATTACTATAACTTGCCTTTCAAGATGAAATGTTGGTTCCCGGTCTATGATTTTATAAAATAAATTTCCCCTATAAGTGCGACCTAGTCTGGTCTTATGTTTTTTTCTTCTTCATTACACATTTTTGGCTGGTGCGACTTAAACTCCAGAGCGACTTAATAGTCTGAAAAATACAGTACTTGAGTAAGCTCCTTTGCAAACACTGCTCCTCACTATTTGCCTGTACTTGACATTAAAAGTGTTGTGTGTATGTGTACAGTGTGTGCGTACCTCCAGAGTGTGCAGGGCGTACACACACTTCCTCCCGTCATCGTACACCTTGAGGCCGCCCTGTCTCTGCAGGTCCTCAGGGGGGACACAGGAGGTGGACAACACTGTGCTCTCTCCTGTGCGCACGTTCTTGTTCACGTTTATCTCCATAGCAAACAGCGCTGAAAAAACACACACATTTCACTCAGTATATTTGCTATCGGTAGTTTAAAAACAGCTCCAATCTCTAAAACAAAGTACAGCCTACTCTTTCTCGGGGGCTCGTCTGGGTGGGCTGGGTCATTTGTTGTCGGAGAGAGGGATTGTGGGAAATGTGGGGTTGCCGTGGTGACAGGTGGGGGCTCTTGAGTGGGGAGACACAGGCACAGGGTTAGACGGGTTAATGATTCGTCAGTTGGACCAGGCTGAGAGGACGTGGGGACTTACCAGGGACAAAGCTGTCATGGGCCTCCTGCAGCACAACGAACCGCAAAAACACACACGAGTTACAATTCACTTCATCAAAACAATTCACCAGCAAGATTCATTTCCTCATTCTGGAACGCTCCTTCTTTCTACAAGTAATAAACTAAATCTAAAACGTTATCTAAAAGTGGTTACTCGTAGCTCGTATTGTTATAAAAGTCCCGTGCAAAATTTACTTGTGGAGTTGTGTTTTGTTTCATTCACACGTTTTCAAGTGAACAACTCCTTTTACCTTTTGCTCAGTAGAGACTGGCAATTCCAGGGCTGAAATTATCCAAATGATTCTATGTTATTAGGTTCTTTTTTTCAGACCTAGAGTGTTATTTCATACCTGACAGTTTCGACTGCTCACTAGCGTCTTCCTCAAGTCTAGTGAGCAGTCGAAACTGTCAGGTATGAAATAACACTCTAGGTCTGAAAAAAAGAACCTAATAACATAGAATCTTGGAAGACCAAATGAATGTCATTGGACAAATGATTCTAGTGAAGGTGTATGGATTTTAAAACACAGTGGAGTATTTCTTGCATTACCACATGACATCACAAGGTGGAACAGTGTTTTCTGTTCGAGAGAAGACCTCTAAATATGCCTAAATACGCAGGGTTTGGGTGTTAAATGTGTGAATGAAACAAAACACAACTCCAGGTCTCTTTGTGATGAGGAAACTACATTATAACATAAAATAGTCAACACGGGCCCTTTAAGAAAAGTCCTATAACCACAAGTGAACCTGTGGCACCAGAGAATTAACCTGCAGATAGAAGACACATACAAGTTTGTCTCATTCACAGTATACGGACAGACTATGCCTCATGTGAATGCTCAGAATCTCCGCAGATCTGACCTGTAGATTTGCCTGGTAACATCACCTGCTTGTCTCCATGGAACCAAACAGCGGCAGTACCTTGATGATGTCCTGCGTGCTCTTCTCCACCGCCCTGAGCCGCGCCAGGATGAAGCTCTCGTTCTTGGACACGATGGCCTCCTCTCTCTCCAGCGCCTCGATCTCCTTCTCGATCCTGACAGGTCAAAGGTCAGAGGTCACGGGGTCAGAGAGGGGAGAGGTGAGGTCAGGTCAGCGCATGCTCAGAGCTCGTACCTGTAGATGCTGAGCAGGAGGGAGCGGGTCTGCTGCTCTGAGGACGAAGAGCCAGGTGCATTGTGGGAGGTGGAGTCCAACAGCCACTGCTCCCTCAGAGATTTTTTCTGAAGAGCGGACAAGCAATATAAATACACAGTTTGAAATATAGTGAGATCAATTGTTTAGACCTGGTTCAGTCCACATTTAGTCCCTAGTTAGACGTGGTTTAGTCCTGGTTTAATCCTGATATTGTGCTGATTTCTTCTTGACTTAGTTTACTGCAACTTGATCCAGGTTTAGTCTTGATTAAAGCTGAAGGATTAGCTTAAATTCTCTTTTTCCACCCTGGAAGCGTATTGTAAAAGAAGAACTTTATGTCTTCATCTAATTAGAAAACGTTATCTATTTCAAACTAGTAAGAGCCATGTCACTATATAGCTGATATTCATGCATGTAAATACTAATGATGTGCCAAAAGATTTGTGAGAGCAAGGGCCTAGTTAGATTTAAATTCATACTTTTTCACAGTTTGAAAATTAGGCACCCCTGCTTAATGTTTAGAAACAATTTATTGCTCATGGGTTGATTCCACTATATGAGCTGCACTCAGGGTTCCCACTCTCTCTCTCACTCTCTCTCTCTCTGACAAAATTTCAAAACTTTTTCATGACTTTTTCTAGTGTGATTCATCACTTCGTGGAAACTGTCTGACCTCGCAGCATTAGGATTCATTCGCTTGATGGTAGCCGGGTACTTTTTTAAAATTTAACCAGTCGCTGCTGTTTGGTTGTGACGTATGTAATGCGCTAAATCCCGTAGGAAGAAGGGCAATAACGTCTTTCCCCTTGATAAAATTCACCAAACATTCTTTTTGTTCCGGCTTTAAATCCTCAATCTCGGGAATCGTTGACAACACAGAATGTCTGTCTTTGTCTACATCCATCTCGACTGCTTTGTTTACTGTTGTGCTGTTCCACAAAAGGGATCCAGACAGGCGCTTCACAGCTCTTCACTCATTGGCCGGTGCGCGGTCTACAACTTCTGGGGTTTTTGCGAACCATCGAGTGTATTCCGATTCCTGACCTAGTCACTCGAGAGAAATTAAATTGAGTGGAAGCAATAGGTGGCACCAGCCTGGCTTAGACTTTTTCATGACCTAAAGTGAATTTGCCATGACTTGAGCATACTTTTAGGGCTAAATATGAAATGTTAAGCCTTTACACTCACCTTATGGTTTGGTATTATAGTTTCTTTAACATTCAAAATACTGTCGGTACATTTATTGTCGTTTCTTTTAAACAAAAGGGGCATACATTCGGAAATAATCATAATAGCCCAATGAGAACTTTACAGAACGCTGTAGTTGCGTGAAAGAAATACTAAAATTCTATGACTTTTCCAAAACTTTCATTGAATTTACAAATTTCCATGACTTCTCCAGGATTTCCATGACTGTGGGAACTCTGTACACTACATAGCATCTCCACCTAAGGGGGCAATACTTTCTTGATGTTCATGTGTGCGTGTTAGAGAATGTACAAGGCCATGAGTTTGTGAAATAAAAGTCCTCATTAAATAACTACAGTATTTATGAGGCTGGAGTGCAGATTGCTCAAGTCACAGCACTACTCATACGGAATCAGCAGATGTATTTCTGGTTTAGTCCTGGTTTAGACCTGTGTGTGGTCTTAGTTTAGTTCCTTTTCAAAGTCAGTATAGTCCTGGCTGGAACATGGTTTGATCCCTGTTCAGACCCTTGTTAATTCATGGTTAGTTCTAATATAGTCCCGGTTTAATTCTTGTTCATACCTAAAAAAAACAACAATATATCCAGTTTAAGTTTCATTCTAATAGTTAATGAGTGTTCACCTTCAGATGTTTGAGCCTGAGCTTCTCCTGGTCCAGCTCCTGCTTCTTCTGCCGGATCACCTCCTGGATACGGTGCTTCTCCTACAACACAACCACACACTGTTTTACGCTGCAGTTTCCTCTTTTACACTGACACTGACAGCACATTTAACTCACAGTGATGGCCTGTAGACGATCCTTTAGCAGCTCCGCCTCCTCCATTTTGTTCTCGAGACCAATACACACGCTGTAAAAGAAGAAAAATAAATACTAATTTCTAAATGAGATCTTTCGTTAGACTAGATCCATAAATCTCTTTTGTCTTCCTCTTAGTGATGGGTGGATCAATACCAAATACTGATTACATTGTTTTTTTTATCAAATTCTAAGCAGTTTCTGACTTATATTTTAGTTCAGTTAGGTTAGCCTTTATCATCCCCATAGGAAAATTTGTTCTTTGCATTTGACCCATGCTTCAGTCCAGCTGGAGAAACCTGTCAGGAGCACTAGGACTGATCTCCAGTTAATCCTGGTCTTGATACAGAATGTACACAAGTGGAAAACCTGGAAACCTTGTAAGAGAAATCCCTCAACCTAGATACCGAGACCTGGTTTAGTCTTGTTTAAATCCTGTTTTAGACCTGATATATGTGTGTCTATTCTCGGTTGTGGGTCGCCTGGTTCATGTCAGGAGCACATTTTAGGAAGCGTCTAAAAGTTCCACTCTACATAAAGAGGGTAAATAAAGGCAATATGATTTGCACCTGTCTCTCAGTAACAGGAGCAGCTGGACCTGTCACTTCTGTCTTTTTACATGTGATATAGAGTGTGTTACTTCCTCCGAGGTCACATGACTAACTGTGTCAGTGGGTCAGTCCTGTCCTGACATCACTGTGTTTTGTCTGTGGTGTAATCGTGGTTTGGAGCTCGGAGATTTTTTTCATATATTTGAGCAAAATGAAACTTGCCCCACTACAGATAAATTGTAAAAACAACTCTTAAGATCCAATGTGAGCTCTCTGCATCTAATTATAAAGTGCTTTATTATTGATCATCAGGAAGTGCACAGTTAGCAGGCTAATTGTTGTTATCTTTACCATAACAGCAAAATTTCACTCTGGTTCACTCTGAAAGTTGTGAAAAGCGCTTATAAAATTGTAGTAAATAATTGCTCAGATGCAGAAAGCCTAAGTAAGTGAGAAATAACTTTGAACCAGTGCAAACCGTTCACATTTTAACAAAGTAAATATCAGGTACAGTGCCTTTGAGGAGAAAAAAAAAGTGAATTACAAAGGCGGTCTTTTATTTAGCAGTCATTTTCAATAAACAATTCTCCATGCTGATTTAGGGCCTGTTTACACGAGAACGCTTTCAGGTAAAAACATCAAAATATTTTATCACAAGTGCCTTTCGTTTAGACGGTGAAGGCGTTTTGGAGCTTAAAAACTCAAAAATCTGAAACCACCCCCCAGAGCGGAAAAATTTAATATGCTCCGCCGTAGTGTTTCCGTCTACTCTGTCCAAGACGCAAAACTCTGGTCAGATCTGCTCAAGTTGCGTACGCATTTACGTTGCATTCATAGAAAACACAGAAACCTGGCAAGCATACCCAATCAAATTCCACACAATTTTGCGCCACCTTATGCACGCAGATTTACTCCCGAAAACGCTCGTCTAAACACGAAGCTAGACCATAGCACCAGTTCTGCAGTTTATTCTACAAACCTATTCTGAAAAACAAATTTTTCTTCTCTCAAAGTCTACCTGAATGTGTTAAAGGTAAACTATGAAACAAATATTGTACAAATGCATTTTATTCCAAAAATTGTGCAGTTACAGTATAATTTGTAAGAGAATTTGTCACTTTAGTCCTATTGGAGCCGTATTAAATTAACTGCAGCTTTAACTTTAAACCATCAAATTAGTCTTGGTTTGTGATACTTTGAGTACCTCATTAGTATTTTAGTCTAATTTAGAATAACAGTTGCTGTAGTTAAACTTTTCACTACACTCTGGTTAGTCCAGGTTATGTGGTTTTAGTTCCAGTTAGGCCTGTAACGATAGTCAATAAATCAATTAATCGTACGGTAACTTTTACGGCTGCGATCATTTCTATTTGTATTCTTGTTTGTTTTCCTTGTCTCTCTCTCCTCTCTCTGTCTCTACCAAAGAGACTGAATGTCAAAAGGCTTCTATCGCTCTCTGACTCCTCTCGTCTCCTTAGCGTAATGATGCTTCAACCAACGTGTCAGCATCGACCATGGGGCATAGACTCTATAAAGAAGTCTATTTTATATAAACCTATTGTTTTTGGTTGTCTTTCAGTTCCTGTGTTAAATGTTCTTTAGCAAGTCAAGTTTATTGATCTTTGAAAGGGTGTATTTGCATTTTTATTCCATGGTCATTATATTAGTTGAAAATTGTCTCAAAATGTCAATATTATCGTTTATCGCAATAATTTCTTGGTCAATTAATCATCCAGCAAAATCTGTTATCGTTACAGGCCTAGTTTCAGTGAAATTCCTCTTGGGTCTGGGGGTATAGTCCCTAGTCCAGTCTGAGTGGGGCCTCCCTCGAGTCTCCGGCCTCTGGTCTTTGGTCTCTGTCTGCAGTTGGTGACCTGGAAATAGCAGCAGTGAGTGTGGCCCCAGGGCCGGCCCCTGACCCACATCTAAATACAACAGCACCCCCCACACCCCACACTCTCCGTATGAGGTCTGTGTGGAGTTTGCATGTTCTCCCTGTGTCTGAGTGGGTTTCCAACCCAAAACATGCATCATGCAGTAGGTCAATTCAAGACTAGCTCAAGATCTGGAGATGGGTCCCACTTCTCCAGACAGTGGCAGAAAAAGGTGGGTCAAATGCAGAGGACAAACTTCCCTATGGAGACAATAAAGTGTACCTTAACCTTAGTTTATTATTATTATATTTTTTTTATTTGACTTTTATTTAACCAGGAGGTCCCACTGAGATTCAGCGTCTGTTTTTCTAAAGAGACCTGACCAAGGTAACAGCCAACACAATATCATTTATCATTTGTTTGGCTCCAAATCTTATATCTTAAAGTCCTTCAAATTGACAACACTCAAGTTTGGATCGAATAAAGGCACCACTTTCTGAACTGTGAAAAAATAATGTAACTTTTGTGTATTTATACTGCAGAGAATACATTAAAGATGTGGACAGGCCCAGTAATTACAAAGATATTATCTACAAACGGGCTCAAATCTACAAATCAGTGTGACAGTAGGGATGTAACCATATCCAAATCTCACGGTACAATATTATCACGATATGCATATCACGGTTCGATATTTATTGCGATATTTTGGAGAGGCTGATATAATTGTAGACAGGACACTTTTTTGCTTCTAAAATACCTTGACAAGATTTTGGTGTGAATTATATGTCATAATCCCAAGAATTCAAGTAAAAAACATATTTCTTCATGTTGTCTGTGCTGAAATGAATCACGGGATATGTAGTTCCCGATGTTTATAAGCTGTTGCTGCTATAAAACCATGCATTTAAGCAAAGGAACTTGTGATTCGATATATTGTGACAGCCCACGATATTATTGTGAGACTTTTGACGAGACGATATCATGATGTTTTGGTTACTGTTACATCCCTATTTAAACATTGAGATTCAAAAAAGCTGCTATTGTCACGTGAATCTAAGGTCGTTTTCACACCGCTAGTTCGATTATTTGGTTCGCACCAGGCAATAAAATTTGTTATTATGTAGCAAATACACTCCAGTGTGGTCCGCGTTCACACCGGCAAACGAACCAAAACTGGTTCGATTGACGTGTCTCTGTTTCCCCGGTAAAACAGCGATACTCCAGTTATCAACACCGATGTTCCTGTTAATACCACGGGCTGTCCTCATCTCAAATTATCACCATGAACTCATAAAACAGCAACATGTAGAACTTTGTACAAACTCACCGCATCAGCCCAGAGTTCGGGTAACAGCAGCAGACAACAGCGCTCACAGTAGCGCGCAGCTCCTCAGGACGGGGCTGGGGTCTGGTCCTTGGTCTGTTACAAGCGCGTTGGTCAGATGGTCCGGAGGCTCTGTCCTCCATGTGCTGGTTCCAAACGGTGGCGAGCAAGACCAGTGCTTGATGGACTGAGTCTGAGCGGGTACGTTCCGTCGTCTGCGCGCTGTTTCCGTGCGGGAAAAGCAAGAATGCGCTGTGGACTACAGGTCCGGCGCGCTGCTCCTGTCCTCCGCGCTCAAGAACCGCGGCTGGTTCTGAGGTGGTGCAGCATCCGGACAGAAGCGTGAGTCCAGTTTGGTTTGTTATATGTTGTTCTGAGCGTCCGTCCTCCGCGCACAACAGATTGTTGTCCAGACGCAGCGCGATTCATTTTCGAATCATTTTACCAACAATGGGCAATACAGAGAATGAAACACACGAAGATCAGAGCAAGTATCAGTGTGCGAACGTGTGGCTCCAGAGTGAGTCAAAATTGGGGGTGCGCACCCCTGTTCGGGACCTACACGCACAGAGACGACCCGGTGTTCCCCGTGATCACGCAGCAACCAACATTTGTTATTTTAGGCTTTAATTAACCAAATAATTTCATGGCAATAGGCAATCGCCCATTCAATTGATACAACTTAAAAAAGTCCCTGTTTTTAGCTAGTGTGAGAAATACAGTCGGACTAGATCCAAACCAGAGTCCTGAACCAGCGGGGGCAGCTCCGGTTCAGTCCGGGCTCAGAGGAGCTGGAGCGGGGAGCCTCGACCTGAGGAAGCGCTTTCCCCGGGAAGAACCAAATGCGCGGAGGACGGAAGCTCAGAACAACATATAACAAACCAAACTGGACTCACGCTTCTGTCCGGATGCTGCACCACCTCAGAACCAGCCGTGGTTCTTGAGCGCGGAGAACCGGAGCAGTGCGCCGGACCTGTAGTCCACAGCGCATTCTTGCTTTTCCCGCACGGAAACAGCGCGCAGACGACGGAACGTACCCGCTCGGACTCAGTCCATCAAGCACTGGTCTTGCTCGCCACCGTTTGGAACCAGCACATGGAGGACAGAGCCTCCGGACCATCTGACCAACGCGCTTGTAACAGACCAAGGACCAGACCCCAGCCCCGTCCTGAGGAGCTGCGCGCTACTGTGAGCGCTGTTGTCTGCTGCTGTTACCCGAACTCTGGGCTGATGCGGTGAGTTTGTACAAAGTTCTACATGTTGCTGTTTTATGAGTTCATGGTGATAATTTGAGAGGAGGACGGCCCGCGGTTTTAACAGGAACATCGGTGTTGATAACTGGAGTATCGCTGTTTTTACCGGGGAAACAGAGACACGTCAATCGAACCAGTTTTGGTTCGTTTGCCGGTGTGAACGCGGACCACACTGGAGTCTATTTGCTACATAATAACAATTTTATTGCCTGGTGCGGACCAAATAATCGAACTAGCGGTGTGAAAACGACCTAACTTTTACACTAGTGATTCACGATCATAACTCATTTTCCTTGAGCTGAACATTGGGCTTTGAGCTGGGGACAAAAGTGTTATAAATCGTACGGCGTGGTTTTGTTCCGGTGGCACACACACGAGGAGCACTGACCTGGTACAGAGTGTGGGCAGTGGGTCAAAAGAAAAAGGAGAAAGGAGTCCAGCTCAGATGTTTAGACCAGTCCAGACCTACTTATTCTGCTCCAGCTGCTGCACACAACAAGACCAAAGGGACAACAGCATCAGCAAAACCACCTGGAACACATACCACAAAACATAAGGAATTTTAGACCAAATCGGAAAGTATTATGATAAAGCTTTTAAGAAAACAGAGGTGTAAATACCTACTCAAGTTAAAGTACAGTTACATGGCTAATAATGTATTCAATCACAAGCACTGATACCAAAATTGTTATGTAAAAGTAAAAAATATGCATGAAAAATAACACTATACATATTTTTTAGTGCAAAAATGTATAGAAATGTATAGAAATGTGCATCCTGGCTAAGTGGCGACCCAAGTCAATAGACATTATTTGTAAATCATAAAATATATTTGTAACCATTATTGAACATTAATGAGGATATTTTATTGTTGACTGAGTGATCGTGTCTCTCTGAACAATTAGTATTACCGTATTTTTCAGTGCACTGGATTATAAGGCACATTTAATAAAACAAACAGATGACATTGAGACTTGAGACTTTTTTTATTTCCTATGAGGAGGACTCTAATATACATTGAGCGATAATGTGTTTAATGCAGCTTTGCACACATTTGTTTACATTTTACAGAAACGAAACTTAAAACCACATGGATACTTTGCATAAACTACTATAAGCGATAAAAACAACTCCCTCCTTGTGCACTGATGCTGTTCAGCTTCTGTCGGACTAAAGGAGACGACTCAGTGAAATATGTGTGAAAATTGTTTTGAGGTCAGTAAGCACAACCAGAATTAATACATAACAGCTCTGTACTATGGTTACTTGCAATTAGGGGTACATGATGTTGACCAGTTTGATATCTGAGGCATAAATTGTCACTTGTTTAGGCAAAATACAGAAAACGACCTGCTTAAAAATGACCAAAATACAAAGAAAATGTGACTATACTGACTCATCTTAGTGATGAATGGGCCGAGTGCAGAACAGTTTTCCTTAATAACGCACTCATTTCACAATTTTTTTATTACCAACCACCTCAAAGCCCGGACGTCCCAGGTTTTTATTTTGAAAATCTGATCACCTTGCTTTTGTTGTGATTGTTTTATTTCAACAATGTCATATTTAGAACAACAACACCAGCGCCTTTATACAGTGATTGACATTTTGAGTGGACGTTCAGTCATGTGTGTTAGGAGTCCGTCAGTGTGATAATGAAGCTAATCTGCGGCCAAACTAATCTCCATCTGTGCAGCTCCACTAACAGGCACTTCACTGTTAGCTCAGAGCTTTAGCCGCGCCTGCTGCACCTCAGGAAGACAGACAGGCTCAAGTTCATTAATAACGCTCATTATCACGAACACTGGAACACTTAAGACCACATATTAATCCCTAAGTATTCAGTCATTAACTACTTTTTTGTTCATACACACTGTAATCCAATCTTAATAAGCATTCATAAGTACTAGGCCTGTAACAGTAACCAAAATATCGTGATATCGTATCGTCCAGAAGTCTCACAATAATATCGAGAGCTGTCACAATATATCGAATTACAAGTTCCTTTGCTTAAATGTTTTGTTCTTTAGTAGGAACGGCTAATAAACATCGGGAACTACATATCCCATGATTCATTTCAGTGCAGACAACATGAAGAAATATGTTTTTTACTTGAATTCTTGGGATTATGATGGAGACAATTCGCACCAAAATCTTGTCAAGGTATTTTAAAAGCAAAAAAAGTGTCCTACCTAGAATTATACTTGCCACTATCGCAATAAATATCGTACCGAGAGATTTGGATATCATTACATCCCTAATAAGTGCTTTATAAATACTAATGAATAGCTGAACTAGTACACAATTACCTCTTCAGAACGGAATTGAATTTCTCTTTTGCCGTGGACTCTACCTGGACGACTGAGGGATTCTAGACACACTTAATAAACAATTACAATAATGTGCGGTCCCTTAAAGAAACCATATGTAAGATTTTGATTTAAAATTCTATAAACATGAACTAACTGTGCCCCCAGATGTGAGGTAAACATCAAATAGAATACAGTTTTTACTGAGTACAACTGTAATGCTGATTTATTCTTCATTACAAACATGATTGTCCAAATTATTTTTAGTTCTCAAGACGATTATCCAGTCAGAAAGCAGAATGAACCTCACAAGAGTTTCTCATTTGTGTTGCCAGTTTCAGTGCTGAAATCCAATTGGTTTAAACCTAAATTGTCTCTCTCTGATCTGAATGGTCTCTACCTAAACCCAAGCTCCTGCAGCCAGTCATGACTCAGTGCTAGTGCAGCCTCTGTAGCTCAGGAAGGGAATTCTGGAGGTTTTGAGCTTTCACATGCGGTCTGTACATAAACTGAGAATGAGACAAACTTGGATGTGTCTCTGTCTGCAGATTAAAGCTCTGGCAATACACATGCTCAGACGCGAAAGGTACTTTTTTAAAAACTGTAAAAGCACAGGCTACATACTGTTTATTTTAGCTAAAGTGTTACTAAATAGGCAACACCTATAATAATTACAAGGATATTCTGTCTATTCTGTCTGTAACTTTATCTCACTTTGTATTTTTTCATCAGTTCTTCTGCAGCTTGATGTTTTTATTGTTTGGGATCCAGAATACACTGCTGCTTCAGTTGACATCTTTACATAGATGTGAGTCTGATCATTAATGAATCTCCCAGAAATATCACGTGGCACTGAAAAACATCACGTTTCTGCAGAATCAAAGAGTGAAACAAACTCTGAGGTGAGAGAAATTGTCGTTTTGTTGAATACGATTTTGCAGACCTTCTCTTCAAGTATTTTAGAAGTTAACCAAACCACCAAAATCCAAAATAACCTACTAGTTTATGTCCAAATATCACACAAAAATGATTGTACACCCTTAAACTTAACAAATCTCTATATAAAAAACATGATTACAGATGGAGAAGTTGGTGTTATTGATTATTGCCCTGTTACTTTTACGATATATCACACTGTGCTCAGTCCCTAATTCTATCTGAACCCTCAAGTTGTGCCCATAATGCAATGCCCTCACCACAGCAGACATGTAGGTGACTGATAAACCTCCTGCCTCCGTTTGTCTGTGTAAGCCACGGAAGCCCATAGGAGACATACGAGCAGAGAAACTGAAGCTTAGGCAGATTTACGGTATTATCCCACCACCACCCAGGGCTCCACAGACACCCACACGGACCATCTCCCCAAAACACGACACAACACGTAAACTGTCATTATACCCCAAGACTCCACTTAAACAGTCTGCAGGAAAATTACACATTACACTTTCCAGAAAACTACCGTGATCACATTTTTTTTTTTTTTTTTTTTTTTTTTGGCAGTACAAGCTCAAAGTTACTGAAATTAAAAGTTTGATCTGCTATCTTGACAATTTATGTATTTTCTTTAAACGCACATTTGATGCTTTTAATGACACGTGATTTACGCAATTTTTTATATGCACGCGACTGGCAAACACGTTTTTTTTTTGTTTTTTTTTTTTTTTTTTTTTTAACGTTTATCAAATTCTCCTCATAACGTCATGTCAGAAGCTCTTTTAAAGTGTAAAAGTATAAAGTGTGTTAGTTTTTTCTCTTACCGTGACGCTCTTCTGTAAAAGCGGGTGCAGGTCCCTCGGTCTGGTCGCGCGTGGCTCTCGGTTTGACGCTCGAGCGCGTGGAGGCGGGGCTACGGAGTCTTAGCGGTGATTGACAGCTTTCTTTCTCCTGACAGCCAATAGTAAAAAAAGATGCGTTCCTCGAAATTAAGACCCGCCCACTCAAGTATTTTAATAATAGGCCCACGCTTTATTATTATTGAGAAAAGTTGGCTTAGTTGAAGACAGTAACAAGAAAAAATATACGCAAAATAAAGATAAAGACCATTACAACTGTACAGATGTTCAATAATCTGAGTGACTGTGTAAAATTATTATTATGTACTGTTTGTAATAGCTGTTATTACCAGAGGTGGGGACTTGAAAGTTGTGACTTGGACTCGAGTCAGACTTGACTATTTTTAGGCCTTGAGACTTCCATCCATTTATCCATTTTCTTATTCTTATCCAGTGCCGAGTCATGGGGGCAGCAGTCTAAGCAAGAAAGCCTTGAGACTTGACTTGATAAAATGGACTAAGATTTGGGACTTGCCTCCAACTTGATGCTTCTCTTAAAAATATTTGTTTTTAGAAAATGCTTAAGTGCTTAATTTAACAGGAACAAACTGGAACATGTCTCTCCCACTTCTCTATTTGTTACTTTGGATGTAAAGAAGTACTGTGAGATGGTATCCTCAAATGTACTGCAGTAAAATACAGTACAACACAGTAAAACAGAGGGAACAACACAGAACATGATCCTTCCATTTCAGTCAGTTCAGTCAGTTCAGACTACTACTACGGCAAAATCACTGTTATTTAGCACTGAAAATCTGAATTCTTTCTATTCTGACTGTAATCATTCACATTAAGATCTTGACAAGACATTAAAAAAAAAATTATTATAATTTCTACAACTCTTACATACTCATATATAAATATATATAAATTGCAAAAATCAGCTATGGATTTATGGGCCAGTGACTCGAGACGAGACTTGGACTTTCCCGTTCCTTTTTAGCAGGTCTCCCACTATATTAAAAATACTATCATAAAAAATACTTGAAAATGTAGTGGAGTACAAAGTACAGATATCTTCTCTCAAATGTAGTGAAGTAAAAGTAATATGTTTCCACTTTAAAATGAACTTCTCCTTTTGTTTATTTCTAGCAGGAGTTCATTTCTTCTTTGCTTATGTTATTTTGGGGAAACTCAGGGTGCCCAGACATCACTATTTCCCCCGGAGTGTCCCAGTTCTGAGTCCTGTGTCCCCTATCCCAGCAGATGTATCCAAAACCATTGATTTGTCCCAGTTTTATACAAGAAATGTCCCAGATGTCCCTATTTTAAACAAATCCAATCCCTGCCAACAGTAAAGAGAGGCATATAGTTGTTTAACTAAAATACAGAAAACAGCGCTTGAAAATGACCATAAGGCAAAAAAATGCACCAACAGGAGTCCCACAGATTATGACTGACCCATAAGTGAATCGATAATAGACAATATTTCACTCATTGTCATTTGATAGTTTACAATTTTTACTTTCTCCATTCTTATTAGGAACTCTTGTACATTAGTTGACAAGATTACTGTACACGAACACTAACCGTCTCCAACTTTAGTGTAATAACTTCAATAAAACACTGATTTCCACATGTATTTTTATTATTTATAAGCACAAAGTGAATCCACAAAAGAATCTCAAAACAAAAGGACGTATATTTGTCGTGTCCATAAGCAACATTAGCACATATACTTCCATTTGTACTATTTTTACATTTATTCCTAGCAATGAGAAGCATAATTTCCTCATGATATAACTGTATAGTAAAATGCTTTTAGTAAAACACAAAATAAAATATCCTTCAATAGTAAACAAAAAAATATTTCGCTGTAAACAGGTGCTGTAAGCTATATAAAGACGCGTGTATATAGCTCCTTCAACTCAATTTTGTGCAATGCTGTTTTCCGTATGAGTTACAAGGCACGAAAACAAACTATATTCCTATTCTAAAATACAAAATGATTCCTTCAACTCTTCTATGTTCAAAGTACAAGCAGTATTTGTGCACTAAATGAGGAAAAGTAACAGACTGTATGTATGTATTGTGTATAAAAATGTGAAAACTGTAGTGTAACAAAAGGGGATTTAATTATAAAACGGATTGGAATGTAAAAAAAACAAATAAGAAACTTTCTGAAAAAGTACGAGTGTAACAAAAATCTATATTGCAATTTTTGTTTAGTGTCATATCTGTCACATCTATATAATAAAAAAAAAATAATGCAATTGGCTTTAGGTAATCCAACTTCAAGAGACTGACTAAAATGATGTGTAAAAATGTGTTGTGAATGTGTAAAATTCTAAAATATTTAGTCACTGAATAGAAATGAAAACCTATATTTTAGATAAAGGCACTGTACCTGATTTTTTCTGTCTTAAAAAACATGAAGTACTTAATTTTAAACAGGTTGCAGTGGTCCAAAGTTACTCCTCACTTGCCTTATGCATTTTAATCATCCTAATTATTCACTGTAATAAGTTTATAAGAGCTTTTTTCAAAACTTTGTGAGACCAGAGCGGAGTTTTGCCGACGTGGTAATCAGATGCCTTCGAAAATAACTTACTGGGAGTACTGCATTAACCGTAAGAAATCTTGGAGTATCAAATATAGTGCAACCCTAGTGGTAATGCCATGATTAGCGCATCATTCTGAAGTTGCTGCCGACGTCCAGTGGAGACACCATGACGCGGGCAGAGCCGGGGGACAGCAGGGGGCGCCACTTGTTCCTCCAGATCACGTTACACACTCTGAAGACGAACAGCACGCACGCCACCACCAAGAGAGCAACTGCAGGGACAAGGACACACACACGTTTTAGGACAGGGTTAGACCAAGTTTAGTTACTGTTTAGACAAAGGAATACTCCATGTTTAAGATAGATTTAGTCTAAATGTACAGTTGGTTTGTCCAGGTTTATTTTCAGGTTTAGTCCCAGTTTTAATGTGGAGTAGAATAAACTCAAGAATTTAAAAAAGCTGATGTTTAGAGTGAGAACACTTATGGGTAAAACGACAAAATATTTTTATCAGGAATGTCTTTCGTTTAGACGGTGATGGCATTTTTGGGTCTTAAAAATGTAAAAATCTGAAAACACCCTCTGAAACTGTGGAAAAGTTGAATATTCTCCACCGTAGCGTTTCCGTCTACACTGCCCAAGAGGCAAAACTCTGGTCAGATCTGCTCACGTTGCGTACACGTTTACATCACATACATACAGTACACAGAAACAAACATGTCAGATGTAGTGATGCCACTAACGCGCTACTTAGTAATGCGTTACTGTAGTCCGACTACTTTTTTCAGTAACAAGTAGTCTAACGCAGTGCTATTTCCAAACCAGTAGTCAGATTTAAGTTACTTATCTAATACATTGTGTGTTACTATTTTTGCTCTTCAGGGCAACGTAGGTTATTTATTTATTTTTATTTTTGGGCGACGTGGGTTATGTGACCCCAAAGATCGTATAAATGGTGACACGTTTCCTATGATGTTACGTTATCTCCGCTCCACGAGTCAGATGTAAACAATGGAGGGAGAGAGGTACGCCTTTTGCAGCTGGAAATACAAACATTATTTTGATTTTATTTCAGAAAAAGTTACTTTTCAAAGCAAGTAGTCAGTAACTTAACTTAAGTTACTTTTTAAAGAAGTAATCAGTAGTCAGTAGTCAGATTACTATTTCAAAGTAACTATGGCAACACTGTAGATGGCATAAATACCCAATTAAATTCCACACACTTTTGCGTCACCGTATGCATGCAGATTTCCTCCTGAAAACGCTCGTCTAAACGTGGAATAAAAAGTGAAGATGCAATGCCACTTTTGTGTCAGACCGTCATCATATAAATAACCTTATAAGTAGCCTCAGTCAGACCTTGTTAGATCTGTGAAGCTAAGCAAGGCTGGCCCTACATTATAATTATTAATAGTTTAGGCCTGGTTTAGTGAAGGTTAAGGAACTGATCTGGTCCTGGAATAGTTATTAGTCAGACACACTTTTGTCTTTGAATAGTCCCAGTTGCAGTCCTTATTTAGATATACACCTGATTTAGTTTAGACTTGGTTCTATCCTGGTTATATCTAAAGCTTCAATTGGGAATCTTGCTTTAGTTCCTCTTAGAAATAACTTGTCACTAGGTGCATTAAACAAGATAAACATGGTGTGTAATGCTGTGACTGACCCATGAAGATGGAGTTGGGCGTGGGGTCAGGAGCGTGGTAGTGTTTGGTGATGTTTCCCACCAGAGCCACGATCACCACAGGGTACACCATGACGATGTAACGCACCCAGCGGTCCAGCACCCAGTTCTCCAGAATGAACCTGGCGACGCAAAAACATCAAAATCATCAAAAATCATCAAGACAGATAATCAAATGTGAAATGAACAGTAGACTTAAGGATGTGAACAAACCTGTGCCCACTTAAATTCATTTTAATCTCACTTCAATCCTAAATCTTCACTGAAACACCTATTTTTGCTGAAGTAAACATCAGTAAAACAGTTTATATTCCATTTGTAAGTCTGATTGAACTAATCTCAAAAATGAGGTGTGTCCCAAGTGTGGTTACTATGAATACAGAAGGGTCTGGAATCGGACCACAGAGTGAAAAAACACTCCAACCACAGCCACTAATTTGTATCATGTGTCTCACCAATGTAAAAGACATCTCCAATCAAAAATTCTCATATCAATCAAAATAAAATACATCACTTCTTTGACCTGAGATAAATAACGGTTAAGCGGTTTCTTTTTCTTTTTAATTGTAAGCCGCAATGTTTGTTTTGACTCAGACGCGTCATGCCTCTCTCTGACTGGTTAATCTGTTTTTCAGGAGACAGGATACAGCTTGAGACTCACTAATCTTTGTAAAGTTTTGTCAAAGTGTGTGGTTCTCGTTGGCCAGGTAAGGTTACTACTTCAGCACCTGCACAAAGTATCTGAGCATGTGCAGTTGGACACAAATCGGGGAAGGTTAACTTGATCTTTACTATAAAAAACTGGAGAAACCTTTTTTTTCCCAATTTTATTTAACCGCTGACCTCTGCTCACTATCGGCATGAATGGATAGATTTTTTGATAGATTTTTTCCAGCACATTTGTTGTATTCTCCCCTGCATTTCCCCTTGACACGTGTGAAATCTGTGTGTTTAATAGAAGCCTTTACCAGGTGACGACTTCAGCGAAGAGGATGCAGAGGGAGGCGGTGGCGGCGGTGCTCTTGGCCACGCCCCACAGCTGCAGGACAATGGCAAAGTTTAGGAGTGACGCGATGGAGGTCCATGTGGTGTACACCGCAAAGCCGTTCTGAACCTGCACAAACAAATAAAGTTGACTTTAGTCCTTTTAATTTAAAGGGCACAGATTATAACTCATTCTTATTTGTACAGTAATGGCTATACAACACTCTTGAATCCTACTGTATGTGTATCAAAGATTTAAGAAAATAAACTTGCAGGCAGTACAGAGCAGTGGGTGTGTACCGGTGGTCATGAAAACAGGGATTGATCTGCAACATGGCATCTTGAAAATAAGCGATTAAAGATGATTCAAACACGCGCAAGTCACTCCAAATACAACTTTGAGAGGGTAAATGAGAAGGAAACAACTATAACATGATTAAAAGCTCTGAAAAGTAGATTTTATACAGGTCTGCTTCAAGTAGTGTTTAGTTCCACTTAAAAACCAAAAACTTTTGATGCTGTCTGGACTTGTTTTAACTTTGTACAAACAACTTTATGAACTCAAATCAATTCTTAAAAGGCCCGTATTACGCTATTTTCTGATCTATGTTATAATGTTTTTCCTCAAACACAAACATACCCAGAGTTGTGCAAAACTTTAAGGGGCAGGAGTGCTACTTGGATGTACAGAGATTGTGCAAAATTGTCCTTCTGGTGCTCTGCAGTGTAGGGACCAGTCTCAAATTCAAGTACAAAATAATTAAAAGCCTTTAATACCACATGACAAATAAAGTTAAATTACGCCAACACGATTCAGCCCTTGGGCAGTCAACAGGGCAAAACTCAAAAAGAGTTGAGTTTCACATGTTGGCGTGATTTTAACTTTATCTGCCATGTGGTATGAAAGGCTTTTAATTATTTTATACTTTTTAAGTGCCTCAGCTTTTTCAACTTTGTATACTCAGAGTTGTGTTTTGTTTCATTCACACACCCGGAGCTAATGATTAAAAAGCAGTTTTTAAGATAATAGGATAGGATTTTGAAGCTTAGAAAAAGTTTATGATCTTAAAAGGTAAAAATTTCCAAAAAATCCAACCTTTTTGAAGCTGTAGGTGCCCTGTCATGAGCAGTTTATGATTACATTGTGCTTTATGGGAAAAATAATTTGTGGGCAGGAGGGATTTTTTCGCGATGAGTGACCACTACGCCAACTCCAGACAGCTCTAAAATAGAAATACCCTATCCAGTTATTTTAATAGATCCGCGGTACACCCTCACTGCAAAAATTTGGATGAACTCAGATCTGAAATGGTCAGTCTCTACTAAACAAAAAGTAAAAAGAGCTGTAAACATGAAAACTGAAGTTGAAATTTTTGTAGACAGATTAACAATAAAGGACTACTCAAACATGTGTGAATGAAACAAAACACAACTCTGGGTATGTTTTTGAAGTGATAACAACATTATAACAGCTCAAATCTCACAGTGAATTTTGCATAATATTGGATTCTTAAAATGATATATCTGATGAGGCATTATTCCATGAGTAAAAGCCTCAGTACGTACCATCCAGCGCAGGCAGCGGAGGTCTCTGGGGTAGTACGTCTTGAGCCACAGGCCGTAGTAATCTGTGGCCCAACAGCAGAAGAAGAGAATGCAGTAGTTTGTCAGAGCGATGAAGATGAGGACCACCAGACCAGCCAACATCACCCTGACACAAGCAAATATACATGTGAAGTTTAAAGTGCATAAGATTATGGTATTTCATGGTTTTCTAATTCTGACTTTGGTTTGGTGGGACATTAATACCTGTACCAAATATTCAGATCATTCATATCATAGCTCCTAACACTAACCTAAACCTGAAAAAACATGGTCAAAAATGAACGTGCAAGCATAGCCACCAAGCAAAGCCATAGTTCAAAATCTGGTTGGGAAAAAATTAAAGAGTAAATTTAATTAGGTTTTTTTGGAAACAGAAGAGAGATACATTAAAGTGGAGATATTACAAAATACAAAATCAACTTTATGAGTGTTTAATCTTATTATAATTGTGAGGGCTTGAGTAATCTGAAAATGTCTGTTTTCACCTACCCCCTATCCCCACCCATGCTAACTTGTATTTATTCAAATATTTTAGACACCAGGCGATACATGTAGGGTTAAAAATATATGTATAAATTAAAACCCACTGCGTGCGTTGCAGTTTACAAGTAACAAAATGTAATAAAATGATCTTCATATTGTATGTTTCCGTTTTCTCTTTAAAATGCAATTGGTCAAATAAAAAGTAATTTCTTTTTGTAGTTATTCACATAAATACTAAAAAAAGTAGTGGTGAGTCCTTAAAAGGAATTCCTCTATCTGTCATAAAAACTGAAAATTCCATCCAAAATGCATGGACAGTTTATTTAGGAATGCCTTTTTAAAACATTTTAAACCTTTATTTAACTTAATTTAAGGTTTTGTCAATGTTTGTAGGTTTTTGTCTAATCATGAGGCCTGTCGCAATGGTCAAGAAGCCTCACATGGGCCCCTAAGACCCTTTAGCCTCACCTTGTCCGCTCCCCTGCTAATCATTACTATAGTGCAGTTAGGTCCTTGTTTACAGTATGGGTGTGTGTAGAAGTACAAAGTCTGATGAGGCAGGGGCTGAGGGCGTGAATACAGGCGCTCCAGACCCCACAGCACAAGTTTTGTCAACATAAAATGCACTTTAAAGGCAATTTTTCTAAGATCATTTCATGGATTTTATCTTCATGTTCACTCAGAAATCCATGGATAGAAAAACATACAACTTTTAGCATTTTAGTTTCAGAACACATGGATTTTTTTTTTCTGCAATACTGGTACTACAAAGTAATACCACGTTGCGTCTGGACTATTGTGATTCATATTCCGTCTTCATCTATAATGTGAAGCAATTTGGGGCAGGACTGTCCATTTCTAAATGTGCTATACTGTAAATAAACCTTGACCTTGACCACATCACGAGTATTTGTGTGCGTTTGTGTGTATGTATGTGATTGTGTGTATGTATGTGATTGTGTGTATGTATGTGATTGTGTGTATGTTTCTGTGTGTGTTTGTGTGTGCAGTGACTTACTCTCTGTCCCACAGCACCAGCCAGATCATGTTGAGCAGCATGTTGATGAACCAGCAGAAATAGAAGGAGTAGGGGAGGAGGAGCTGGGCCCACGAGCTATTCACAGAAACACAGTACATCAGACTTCAACCATGACACACTTTTATAAATATATATGTGTATATATGTATAAGTATATGTGTGTATATGAAGAGTGGCGCTGCACAGTCTAGCAACATTTGTAGGGCCTTTAGGGGTGAGTGATAATCAGTGTTTCCCATGGACTTTGTTAAAGAAGACATATCGAGCTTGTGTGTGCGCTATAGTTATAATCTATGACACCTGTGGATCATTATGTTATAATTATGCATGGTTAAAAGTTGACTATGCAGAATAGGTCTGTATTTTTATATGTGCATGTATGATTATAATGAACTAAAACGAATCCGCGTATCACCATATCGGAAATGATCTGCATCCAGACACGTCGTTTCTGTGTCCGCAAGCCTTTCCTATCCACACAGCTTTGAGCATATTTGTTTACGTTTTACAGAAACAAAACTTTAAAACTGCATGGCTAATTTGCATAAACTAAGGCTCAGAAAAACAGCTTGCTATTGTGCACTGATGCGGTTCAGCTTCTGTCGGACTAAAGGACACGACTAGAATATGAGTGTTCTTTCTGTGACAGAGAGATGTTCTGCTGATGGTGAGTCTGTTCTGTGCTTCTGTCGTGTTGGAGATGGTTCATGTTAAACTTTTCAGAGATTATACGTCTGCAGGTCGTACGCACAGACCATATATATGAATGGACACATATTCTAGCCTCTTAGCGGTGAATTACTTCGCGGTGCATAGACCTACATCAGCGTTTTCATGCATCCACACAGTGCCGGATCAGATCTTTACTCCGATGAAATCATGGGAGCTGGCGGCACCAGATCGTTCCGTCTCTGGAGCCGTTTTCCATCAGATTAGTGTGAACGAACACTGCATCCGCAACGAAAACGACTCGAAAACGTAATAGTGTGGACTGGGCCAAAGTGTACAGTATAAATGTCACTCACTGCCTTGTGTAGTCTCCTTTAAAAGTTAATAATAATATGATGAGCACAAAGCTAATAATAGTCCAGGTTATTTTTGACTATGGGGGAGTGCTGTACTGTATAAATGGGAAACACTAGATAATGACAGACAATAACACTAGATCATTTGCCATTTTATTTGGTCTTCTCCCTAAAACAATAATCTGATTATATCTCTGTGGTCCATGCGAGTGTGTATAATTGGCAACTTTCTCAACTACTGGCAACAAACTGAGACACTTTATACAAAACAGATTTGCTAAAAATGTGAGTCTTTGTACGGTGTCTGTACTGAAGAGTCTGGTTCACATATTTGACATTTTCAAAGGGAGGACGTGCTTTAATGCTTCTGGTTAGATGTGAAACTGCATTTTATTGTACATGTGTAATCGATGACGGGGACCAAATCTCTTTAAGGTCTTCCATACGACAAAGAGGAGTTTTTCAGTTTTTTTTTTTTTTCTCATAAAGCACATTTCAAAATTTCAAATTGATGAGTTTAAAGGGCATGAACCTCCAGAATTCCCTCCCTGAGCTGCGGAGGCTGCACTAGCACTGATTCATGATTTCCGTGGGTGTTGGGGTTTAGGTAGTGACCATTCAAATCAGAGAGAGGTTTTTTAGGTTTAAACCAACAGGATTTCAGCATTGAAACCTTAAACCAAAACACAAAACTAAACAACATGACCATCGCATAGGCCTGTCACAATAATTACTATATCAACTTCAATATATCGAAGCTGGAACAATATATTTTGGGGCTCAATATTTATCATATGTTCAATTTCTTTATAAAAGTGAGGAGATGTTGGATATTTAACATTTGAGCTGTAGCTATAGTTAGATAAGTGACTTCTATGGCTAATTATCGGTTTATTCTTCTTTTTATTTGTTGGAGCGCAGGTCTTTTGATGATACTGGCTCATCCTGTTTTATTGTTATTATGTCAGTTGCATAGAGTAGTTTCAGTAGCATCACTTATCACAGTATGTCGGTGTGGCAAAATATCATGTTTCAAAATGCGTTATTGTGTTTTTGGAATTAGGAATAATACCAAGATTACATTTGTTCTCGGTGAAAGGATCATGAAGCTGTTTGTCCCAAATGTACAACGCACCGCTACACCTGATGAGTGCAAGAGAATGGACTGTTCACTTTTTTGTGCTTTTGCTGCCGAACACTAGTCTGATTCATCAGCCGGTTTCACTTCGTAGAAACTGTCTGACCTCGCAGCAGGAGTCGTTTGCCCGACGGTAGGCAGGTACTTTTTTAATTTAACCAATCGCTGCTATTTGGTTGTGACGTATGTAATGCGCCGCTAACGGGGTTACCTGGTATATTAAACTTTTCCCAAATCTCGTAGGAAAAAGGGCAATAACATCTTTCCCCTTGATAAAATTCACCAAACATTCTCTTTGCTCCGGCTTTAAATCCTCGATCTCGGGAATCGCTGCCAACACAGAATATATGGCTCTTCGCTGATTGGCTGGTGCCCGATCTTGCACTTCCGGGGTTTTTGTGAACTGTCCATTGTATTCCGATTCCTGACCTAGTCCCTGGAGAGAAATAAAATTGAGCGGAGGCACTAGGTGGTGCCAGCCTGGCTAGCCGAACACTTCCTTTGGGATCAATACAGTATTTATTGTATCTATCTTGATAAGAACACGTTTGATTTTATTGAAGGACAAAGTCAGGTCATGTTTGTAAAATTTTAAATCTACATAAAATAATATGATTCCTATTATCAACACTATCTCGGGGTGTGGCACTAACTGTAGGCTCTGCTCTGTCAGAAGCTCTATTACGGAATTTGCACGTCATCACTGTGCCTGCGTAAGCTTCCTCAAGGTGCTCCGGTTTCTCCAACACGAAAACATGTACAATAGGGTCCCTTGTGAGCTCAGGAAAAAGAGATTCTTAATCTCAGTGGGACTATCCTGGTTAAATAAAGGTCAATAAAATAAAATAACACTGTAATCTAATCTTTATTTTAACACAGTCTGACCAGAAAGAGCTGACAAAGCTTGAAATACAACAGATGAGCTGATTTGTGCGCTTAAACAAGTCTCTCACAAATAACATTACAGTCACAAGGAATCTAGATTTAGCCAACAGTTTTTCAGTGAGTCACTCTCACCTTTTTGTTGAAAATCAAACTCTTAAACAGGATCATGAACACTCGCATTTAGGGCTGGGCATCATTCAGAATATGATACATACCTCGATACATAAGCCATGTTACGATATATATCGCAATACAGTGAGCTTAGGATTTGATACGATTCAAAACGATGTATTTCAAAATTATTCGATACGGTTCAATAAAAAATAAAGGTTAAATCATGCCTGTGATACTAAAAGTCTTTGTTAAATCACTTCTTCTAATATGAAGCACACTCATTTTAATTCTCAAAACAGTGAATATGTCAAATGTGTCGCATAAATGAGTTTCCTTCCTCTAAACAAGCAACAAAACTTTAGCGCTGTAACAAAATAATTTTGTAAAATATAACAAAAAATATTTATTGTTATGAATGTGAGAATGTGTCTATATTTATTCATTTTTACTGCTAAAAAGTTTTGCTCTGTTGAAGTTTCGTTGTATTTCGTGCAATAACAATAAATCTAAATCTAATCTATACTCATGGCGAGAAATCAAACCAGCAGCCCATGATATCGATACTGTATCATCACATTAAACGACACGATATATCGATATTTCAATATTTTTGCACAACCCTACTCGTGTTGAATCCTGAAAATGTGCTGTTTAAATCATACTTTTTCTTAAGCATTCAAAATATCTCAAAACTTTTTGACAGTGTTTGTTAATGTGTGCGTTGTGTCTCCATGGTAACTGCTGAACAATCCACCATAGTGCTACATATAGACCACCCCAGAATGATGTGAGTGCACAGTCTGAGTAGCGCAGGCCTGTAGAGTGTGTGAGTGTGTCTGTTTGTGTGTGCGCTGACCCTCTGAAGATGTAGGCTGTGTTGTAGAGCACGATGAGGGTGAGCCACGTGTAGATGACGCCCCAGATGGAGAAGGTCCACCCGGCGGGAGTGATTTCCGTCTCATAGCGCCCGGAGATGTTCCCCGTCGAATGGTGGAAGAAAACTGTCGGGGGAAAGAAGAAGAAAACATTTTATTTATAAATCACGCAACTGATACTTTGCACCTGATGTCATCAAAATGGGGGTGTGATGCTAAAACAAGGCATCGCTCTGTCTGACGTTTTAACAAAATCTGATCCGAAGAACTAACCTGGAAGCTGGAAACACAACAATAACTCTCAGATAAAAGAATCCACATAATCCTAACCCAATTTATAAGTCAGATCTGTAATCAGTAAAGTTAAACACATTTCCAACTCAGCTAAAAGCAACCTCAAGTGTGGTAGGAAAATGACACATTTGAATACACAAAACCAAAACAAATTAGAGGCAATAAAAGATCTGAAATTAAAACAGCACAGCACAGCCAAGGGAGCCAGAGAAAAAGGGAGTGTCTTCGTTTAAAGCGCTCCTGTGACTAAAGTTAAAGCTATTGCATATCACTCATCGCTATTTTAAAAGGGACTGTATGTAAGATTTAGAGTTTAAATTCCATAAACATGAGCTAACTGTCTCGCCATATACAAGGTAAAAAGGCTTAGATCAAATGTAGTTCTTACTGTTAAAAACAGAAAAAACATTGATGGCCAACGCTGTTTGTTATAATTTGGTATTTTGGTTCTAAACACAATTATTCAATCAAAACGCAGAATGAGTCTCACATGAGTCTCTCATTCGGGTTGCCAGGTCCAATGCAGTTTATTTAAAAATGTCTCACTCTGATCTGAATGGTCAATACTTAAACCCCAGCACCTTCAGCCAATCATGAACCAGTGCTAGTGCAGCCTCTACATAACCCGGCTCACACCAGACTAATCTGCGTGTCACTCTGAAGTGAGTTCTTCACATAAAGTAATTGGAAAAACCAGAACGTCATGATGACTACAACAGCAGAACAAACCAAAACACCAAACTTTATTTAAATACAGTTGAGAGAAAATCACAGACACAGACAGAGAAATTCCCCGTCCACAACTGCACAAAGCTCTTACCTTCTGCATGTTTTCCACAAACTAAATAGTCTGTACTGGGGCTAAAATAGACTGAGTCTCTAAACCTCTGCAGTTCAGTAAGGGAATTCTGGAGGTTCTGAGCTTTCACATGAGGCCTGTCCATAAACTGAGAATGAGACAATCTTGGAAGTGTCTCTCCCTATAGATTAAGGCATTGCTTCCCAAAAACTGGGTCGTGACCCTCAGATGAGTCACAAGAGATTTTTTTTTGGTCGTCTGATATGCGTGTTGCGCTCTTCTGTTGCACCCAGGACTAGAACGCGTGACAAAATCGCAGACAGGCCCACATATCTCATTAGAAATGTTGAAATGTTGAGACATGTTTTGTATAATTTCTAATATTTTTGTAATTATTTTATTGATTATTTTGTTCCAGTATTGCTGGTTCAACTGGATGTTGAAAAGAAAAAGAAATTTGCTACATTTAGGGCTGTCGTGGTTATGGAATTTCCCTGAGGTGCGGTATAGCAGCTCAACAGCGCGGTATGCAATGATATCTCACCCCATCACCCACCCCACATCCCCAGGAGTTACAATATTTCCAGCAGCACTGAAAACTCTCCGATGATGTGCTTGTTGCTCAGATGCACATATACCTTGGTTGTCATGTGTGTAGCCTGGGAGAAGTAACATTTGGCTTTGGAACAAGTGCTGCTGCATCTCTCCAGCTCTCACTATGGCAGCTCGAGTCAGAGTTCTGCACCAGGTCGAGTACCCGCGGACTTAAGAGAGACAGCCCCTAGCACGAGCACGCGAAGCAGGTGTCTGTAAAGCACGATCGGGCAAGGGCCGCTCTTAACTCCGTGTGGCACGGAGCTCTGCCCAGTCCTTTCGCCTGAGGTCACCTGACAGTCTACACGGGCGCACCTTAGTCCTAGGTTAGTCTTGGGTTAGTTCTGGATTATCATGGGCATGGGCGGTAACAGGTGGAATGTTAAAGGGTCCGGGTGGGGGCGGGTCTCTACAAATGGACCCGTGCAGGACTCTGGGTCGGGTCACGTTGGTCACGTGCGGTGATCACGGTGGCCCAACAGCCACCACGGTGGATCACTTAGTACTGCGGTAATTAATTTTTGCGGTTATTGTGACAGCCCTAGGTACATTTAATGTCCAAATAGGCGATGTATGGATCCTTTTATTGCTGGTTCAATTACTGTTTTTCATTGTTTAAAACAGAGAGACACGATCACTCACTCACAATCAGTCAACAATAAAATATCCTCATTAATGTTCAATAATGGTCAAACTCACCTTCATTTTGTTTGTTGTCTATTGACTTGAGTCATGACGGTTTGTGACTTTTAAAATATGAGTCCCCAAAAAAATTAGTTTGGGAAACACTGGGTTAAGTTACTGGAAACACTGCTTTAATCCATTACAATCTATAGTACTTCAATATGGGTTTCGACATTTTTTCCACAATATTTTATTTGTGATGAGGGATTTTAAACACAAGCATCTGCAAAAAGATTTGAACCTAAATCACTTTCAAACAGACAATAGTGGCAAGTAAACTACAATCTGTGTTTCCAGCCCAAATCTTGTGCCTGCCCCTCTTCCTCTGTGACTCACCCGACTGTGGGCGTAGGCTCAGGAGCTTCTCATTTGCTCCGTTCCTTCTCTCTCATGTACTTATTAGTCCCTGCAGACCACAGTGCATGATGGGAAATGGTGTGTTTATAAAGCTGGCAGAAGCACCGCTCATTGTCTTACATCAGTACAGTTTATGTTGGGAGTAGTCTAAGAACTGGACTACAGGGACACAGGAAAATCGAACAAGTTTGTGTGCTCATTCTTTACTACAAGAAGCAACAGTAGTAGTAAAATTATTCTTCACTGTCGGTGTTCAGTATTCAGGATTCCTTTTTTCTCATGTATTTGCCCCAGTACAGATACTTTAAGCGGCTCTTGAAGTCAAAATATTGTCCGATGTGTACTATCTGCATCCAAATAGGCGTTTTATTGTCTGATAACAAGGAAGTGTGTGGTTAGCATACTAGTTGTCATAAGCACTATGAGAGAAAAACTCCTCTCTGGTCTCTGGATGTTTTGAAAGTCTTTGTAAACTCATCTTGATGAATAATTAGGAATGCATAAGATATAAAATAGGAATAACTCTTGGAAATGAACTAGATTTTCACGTTTTTAAGACGGTAAAAATCAGGTACAGCACTTTTAACTACTGTCTAAAGAAAAAAATTAAAATGTTTGGTTAAAGGTGCATTAATAAATCACTTTTCTGGTGAGTGGTCTGCTGAGATGTTAACCATATCTACGTTTTGGAATTTTTATTGCTAGTAACTAGTAACTAGTAACTAGTAACGAGATAAGGTTAATGCCATATTGTGGAATATTTTAAACAAGGCAATAATATCTCTAAATGGACAAGCAGGTGGCATGCCCTCCACCGGGAAAGTTACATACAGTGTACCTTTAATGAAGATGTTATAAAGCAGTAATTTTAGTATATTAAGTTTATTTATATTTAGTTTATTAATTATTAAAAATGTATAGAAGGTAGTTAACATTTTATTCATTTTGGTCTCTTTTAGGAACCTAACAAAGAAACCAAGTTAGGTATAAATACTATACTCCGTGGAAATGTTATTGCTTGAATGCCCCACAGTATGGCATTAAATCTGTTTACACGGAGGAAAGTCCGCAATCAGCCAGGCCAAGTTACAGGTCAGATCTGTGGAGAGATGAGCTCATTCACAGTAGGAATGCATGTGTTTGCAATGTATTTTTAACTCTAAAACATCTGTAATTGAATAAATGCAACATAGATGAGTTTAATGCCAGACTGTGGAATCTTTCAGTGATCTGTGTATGTGTTTTTGTTTTGTTTTTTTCATCTAATTTGTCTAATGTCAAATGTCTAAAGATACACTTTAATATATTTAACAACTGAATATCAAGTAGACAAAATATTGTAAAAATAAGAAGCTTCTTCTTATTCCTTTTTTGAACATTGAATATTTTTAACAAATTAGTTCTCTTTATTTTGTTTCTTTCTTTGTTAAATGTACATGTTCTGAAAGTATGGAGACTATATGTTGTGCCGTCAAACCTTTTTTAAAACTCTGACTAACTCTGACTCTAAAAATATATACATATCTCCATGGAAACAAGCTTGTGGTGGACCCCCTACCAGAAAAGCTACATGAGGCACCTTTAACTACTCATGACACAGACATTTTTATAAATAATATTTCTCAAAACAGTCAAAAAATACCAAAAAAGCGAAGTGAAAAAAACTTATATCATGCCAGTGCCACGCGAGCCTCGCCTGGAATGACCCTGATGTTTGTTCCCATGGTAACCACACAGTTACCGCTCCGTATTTAGCTTTAGTTTGTTTCCATATACAACAAGACAAACTTTGACTAAATGTAACGAAGAAAAAATAAAATAATAGATAATAAAATAGTTTAGTTACACATATTCGACTATTTATTTATTTATTTTTTAACAATGTGGAGCAAATTAGCGAAAATCGGACGCGCATTGCTATGTTTCCATGGTAACAGAATATTTTAGTATTGGGGTGAAAGGTCAAATCTGAATCATGTAAATGGTGTCGATTTCCTCTTTTCTGCTCCGTTTTTGTTTTGTTTTTTTCGTGTCGTAACCATAATCAGATACCGCGTGTGACAAATGTGGTTACAAAACTGCGCATCGTTAAACTGGGAGTCACCCGATAGTTTCATAACAAATTTGACTAGTTAACGCGAGGATTTAGCTAGCACGACGTATGAAAATTTATACACATGAATAAAAAGTTTAAATGCACCGACATCTTTGCACCATCATTGCAAATACCAAAAAAAGAAAAAAAAAAAAAAAAAAAAAAAAAAGAAAATAGTTTGGGACTTACCCTTGCCAACACCAGCCAACGCGTTGACGAGAATAACAAACACGTAAACTACAGCGCACAGGATGATGAGAAAGATCTTGGGCCAGCTTTTCTCCTTCATCGTGCAGAGTTTCGTGGTGATTTTTTAGTTGTAGTGGTAAAAAGGGAGAGGAGAGAGCAGAGGAAAAGCGATCGAGCGGACGCAGCGGAGCCAGGCGCACATGGATCTAGGCGGAGCGCACAGGCACGTTTGACCAAGGAGCGTTCACGTGTCCATGAGAAACGCCCACTCCCTCCCCCTTGCTTTTACACAACCACAAAACATAGCAGTGTTTACGGACGTGCTCTCAGCTGCTTAGAATAATGTGAATAATAATGTGACAACACTAGAAGGGGTCAAATTGAGGCTTAACGCTGGGTTTTCAGACTTACATTTCATACAGCGAGTTCCAGGATATAGTTTAGGGTGTCCAGACTTTCAAAATAAATCTGGTTTGGGGTTTGGGTTGGTTGGTAATCATAAAATTGTGACTCGACTGCCTAATTCAGCAGAGATGTTCTGAACCCGGCCCAGACATGACCAACATGAGTCAGTATAGTCACATTTTCTTTGTGTTTTGGTCATTCTTAAGCAGCTTTTCTGTATTTTGTGTAAACAAATTACAATTTATACTGCTCTTAAATGTTGGCAGGTGTCAAATTGGTCAAAAATAGGGACAACTGGGACATTTCTTGCATAAAACTGGGACAAATCAATGGTTTCGGATAAATCTGCTGGGACAAGGGACACAGGGCTTAAAACTGGGACGTCTGTCACTCTACCATACTAGATCGTGTTGGATTTACACTTATTGCTGGGATTTTGGATGACATTATTACTTTGTACTGGCCAATAATATTTCATACAGATTGGGACAGCTAAAACTTAGTTTTCTGTTGTAATATACCGAGTTCTAGGGTCTAGTCACTGGTAGAAATGATCAGGTTTGTGAATTTTCCTTTTAGATATTATTATAAAAATACAGTACAAAGAATTGAGATAACTGGTTCCCCAACTGGGAGTATGACTAATTAAAAAAAAAAAAAAAAAAATTACATAAAAATAATTATATATACTTTGTACACGTGTTTTGAAATGTGTGTGCTTTTGTTTTACGTAAGCACATATATAATGTATTCTGACAAGTTTGGATGTATTTAATTTATCTACAATTACTTTTAATAGTAAGAGACCACTTTACCATCACAACACAAAAAAAAATAAAACTTTATCCATTTAATGTTTTTTTGTACATACTTTCACATACATACTTTGAGACAATGTAGTAGGCCAGGCATGTAGTTTCACATAGATGGAGACACCTTATTAGCAGTGAACGATTTGGGAAAAATATCGAATTGTGATTTTTTTCTGATAAATATTATGATTGTGATTTGTAATTTATGTTTCATTGTGATTCTGTTCAAAGTTCACATTTTAAACATCCAGAAAAACTGACTAAAAGATTGAAATTGGAACGGACAAACTAAAACAAAAATCACTTTTCAGAAAATATTTGTACAGATCTAAACTACAGGGTTAGCAGTTTTACGTAAATTCAATTGAGATTAATCTTGTGGCCTTATAATTGATAGTTTTTCATTACATAACTTTGGAATTTAATTAGTCCTCAAATGCAGGACAGTAAATGTAAGTCTGCTCATAAAATGGGAGATGAGTTTAAGTAAACACACACACTCCTTATCATGCCATTATCAGTCATGATTTAGCAACAAATATGTGATTATGAACTGTTTTTACACAGTTTTCTGCCTCCCTCTTGCTCTCTCTGTACTGTGAAAGACACGTTCATGGACAGATTAAAACCATCTGAGGAATGAAGAACATTTTCACATAAAACTACATGTACATCTGGTGTTACTCAGCGATGGGCTTCAGAGTAGACACAAGAGCAAGTGTCTCTGCGTTTAGAAGAAGAATGCCGGACAGCTGGGTTCTACAGTTATTTAATTCCTACACCTCTCCCTTGAATTGTTTCCAGAAATGAATTATGAAATCAACCATTCGTTAACTTTAAGTGTTCATGACAAAAAAAAATTCAAAATAATTCAAAGGGATGCTATAAATGTAACATGATGACTGACATGACCAAATATAAAAGCAGTAGTATTACCATAAACATAAGTTACTCATTAATAGGCCACTGTAAAAATGTGTTGCCTTTTTATTGAAAAGCAGAAAAAAACATCTGAAGTCTGTCATCTCAGACCACTGCAAAAGGGATAATCACATTATGGACTGGGAAGGAGCCAAAGTTACTAGGACAGAAGACAATAAATATCATCACTGGATAAAAGAGGCAACAGAAATCTGTAAACATGTCCATAATACACTAAACCGATCGAGACGAGGGGGTGTTCTTGCTTTCCCACACTTGGGATACTGTTCTGAAGAAGTCGGATTGCAGAGGGCGCTGTTGTCCTTCCTCTCCTGGAAGTAAGACTGTGCCGAAAACTATGTAAATCAGATCTAAGACATCCCGAACCACCTCAGCTGGCTCCTCTCAACGTGGAGGAGCAGCGGCTGTGCTCCGAGCTCCTCCCGTGTGACTAAGCTCCTCACCCTGTCTCTAAGGGAGTGCCCAGACTCCCTGCGGAGGAAACTCATTTCGACTGCTTGTATCGGCGATGTTGTCCTTTCGGTCATTACCCAAAGCTCAGGACCGTAGTAATATTTTTTTTTAAATCTGAGTGTACAAAAAAATAACAGTTTGACAAGTCGACTAATGGAAACATTAATCACTCTCTAAATTGAAAGAATTATTAATTGCACTATATGAACAAATACTCTATACCACAATGACAATAAAAACACACTTTTAAGACAAAATATTATTTTAGTTATTTCTAACTCAAAATAATTTTTGATACTTTGATACTTCAGAACCTTCAGAACTTCAGATATTGTCCTGTTTTTGATCTAAATGCATTGCTTTGTTGCAGCTGCTTTAGATTTCACACACACTGCTCGGTGTGTGAGTATCGGAGGGTTCTTCACAGTGTTGAGGTGTGGTCAGGACTTTCTCTCTCACACAGCTCATGGATGTAGTGGTCAGCAGGCTGGGCTCTGCTCTGTCTGGGTCTCATAGTCCTTGTGGATTTCCAGTGGTCCAAAGATCTCCTCCAGAACCTCCAGAACGTTGGCCTGCAATGACTCCACCTGCTCCAGAGGGCAGTACTCATCCAGACTGGACCTGAACACAGCAAACCCGGCTGTTTACATTCATCTCATTTTATCACCAATCACCATCAAACATTAGTACTGCCCCAAAGTGCTTAACATTTAAAGGGCCCGTTACTCTATTTTCTGATCTATGGTATAATGTTTACTCATTAAAAACATACATTTTTTTGTATTATTTAACACACAAACCTCGCCTATTTAATTCTTCCCTCAAACAGAAAACACTTTGTGATGCCATGTGGTAATACAGGATGTGCTCCACTGTGTTTTTAAACTTCATACACCTTCACTAGAATCATTTGGATAATTTCAGCCTTGGACAATCTGTACTGAACAAAAGGTAAAAGATAACATTTAACTTGAAAACCACCACTACATGACATCACAAGGTGGAAAAGAGCATTTTGACCTTTGGAGATAATAATATAGTATTAATAACATTAATAATGTAGGATTACTCAAATATGAATGAAAGAAAACAACTCCAGGTTTTTACAACGCTCTTCTCTGTCCAGGTGATAGTTGTTGTCATTTCATTGCTTCATTTTACAGGTACAAACTGGCACCTGTCCTCCCTCCTCTAAGAACGACCATTGGTATAAAGACTTGAAAAGGATGTAAAACTGCAGACTTAAAAAACAAGGACTTTATCTCAATTCTGTCCATTAGGCAGTGCAACCAAATGTGCTATACTAAAACTAGACTAAAAAATAATAGAAAAAAACATATCCTGTGTACCTGGACATGGTGACGATGGTGGGCTTGGGCAGGTGTTTGAGGAGCAGTGTGAGCGCTCGGAGCAGACTCTGGATCTCCTCCTCACTGCTGATGTGGTGAGGCAGCTCCACGGTGTCACAGGTCAGCCCGGCCTGGTGCACCTGAGGACACATCCACAAACAACATGACCTGTTGACTCTACTGTGCTGTTTGAGTCATTTTTTATTTATTTACACATTTTCTCCTTCTCCTTCTAAATGGAAGTAAACGATTGTTTTACTTTACAAAACTAAAAGCAGGTTTGGCTGTTGCTGTTGAAGTCCAAACCTCTTCACTGATACATTTCCAACGTTGCACCACTTCTATGGTGTTTTATCTGCTAACATATTTAGATCACCATGTTACCGTTTATTGTTTTGTATTGTTTTATTGCTATTTGCCGAAAACATGTTTCCTTTTCATTTTTGATGCTTCTCTCTCTTCCCTGTTCTTGCTCTCCATGTTATCACTCGCCCTTCAGAGCGCTATCAACACAATTAGAGTGCATCTTGTTATTTATGGAGAAATGTCGTGTGGGAGTTTGGGTGACGTAGGCTTGTGGGTGGAGCATCTCACACAATCTTACAGCTCAATGTACGGAGGGTTAGAAAAGGGCCTGGGAGAGATCGCTAAATTACTCAAACATGTATGGATGACATCTAAAGCCTCTTCAGGCCTGTTTTTGATGAGGGAACAAAAATAACATGGTAGAATCAATTTTACCTCTTAGCTCATCTATGTAAACTAATAACATAAGTATTTTAATCTCAGTCTCACCATTTCATAGTCTGGACTGGGGTTTTTTGACTTTAGACTTGAAACCAGAGCCGCTAAAGATGCCATCCTGTGAGGAAAAGAAAAAGAAACAAAAATGCTTAATATACTTAGACCGGGTATGTGGTAATAATACATATGTTAATGGTGATTCTGACCCTGGGTTCCTGCTCCATCGAGTGACCGTCTCCTCTCCATCGTCTTCCAGCAGATCTGCAAACGCTGCCTCCAGGTCCTCCAGCTGTCGCACCCGGTTCTCCACACACTCCTCTAGCTCCTCCTGAAAACACCACACAGTACTCGCTGGATTATTCACAGTCTCTGCAGTAACTCCACCACACCACCAGGTGTCATGTCCAAAAGAGTGATGATTTAAAGTACGGTACCTGATCAGCTCCAGGCTTTGGTGCTCTGAAACTGTACAACTCTTGAAGGATGGCATACTCCTCCTAGACAATAACAACTGGACTAATAAGTACACAAATATATTTCACATATTTCACATGACTTTGTTTTAAACATTTCTGCACACTGTGCTTGAAGCAGTTAGTCCTCGTGTTTCATTAGTTTAAAAAAGGATACAAGAGTGGAGACACAGACGTTTGAGCCCCAGTTGTAACTGTATACTGTCTGTAATAAAAATCCATTTATTTTCTTCTGCTTATCCAGGGCCAGATCGTGGCAGCAGCAGTCCCTGCCCCAGACACTTCCTCCAGCTCCTCCAGGAGGATCCTGTGGCGTTCCCAGGCCACCTGAGAGACACAGTCCCTCCAGCATGTCCTGGGTCTTTCCTGGGACCTCCTCCCAGGAGGCATCCGGAACAGATGCCCAAGCCACCAGAGTAGAGCCGCTGCTCCTCTCTATATGTGGAGGAGCATCGGCTCTACTCTGAGCTCCTTCTGTGTGTAGTTATCTGGTACATTAAATTTAATGCTGACCTACACATAACAGTAGTAAGATCAACTGTATCTTTTACTACTGAGTTTTGCCAAGAGTAAGGATGTGACATTCAAAAAGTTTTATGTTGACAATATTTAAAAATAGAATATTCCTTCATACAGGTGCGATTGTGAGTTATATCATTTTCTTAATGTCCTTGTGTGGTGCTCTGTGGACTGTACCTGACTGTAGAGCTCTCTGAAGGGGTTCTTGCAGGAGAAGAAGTCCAGGTCTATGTCCAGGATGTAGGGCTGAGTCTGGTCCAGTAGAGGGAGCACATTGTTCACTACATACTCTGGGGCGCCCTCCCCCTCTCCTCTGCCCTGTGTGCTCTGTGCAGGGGGGTTTGGAGTGTCCTCTGGTGGCTTTGGTGTGTCACTGCAGGAGCTGGACCCAGGTTCACTGCTACTCTCTGATCGTGCTCTCTTCACTGTGGGCACTCCAGGCTTTACTGAAACATACAACAAGATAGAACAATGTCAGTACCTGTGGGAGGCTGGTGTGGTTTGCCGAGACCACAGGAGCAGACACAGACTGAAGGTGCCCATCTCTCCAGGACCTGTCGTCGGGCAGAAGCCCTCGCCACAAGAACAGTTTCTTCCCCTCTGCTGTTGGGCTCATCTCCACTTTAAAGAACATACTAAACCATAATTCATCTTCTTGCACTCAGTGTTTTGCATTCTTCTGCCCTACAGTATTCAGTCAAAGTCTATTTTTAATTACCTTATGTTAATGTATATCATAGTTTATGTGTCCTATTTTTAGTCTTTGTTTAATGATGCACCAGAGCAAAGCAAAGCAAGTTCCTGTTTGTGAATTCTGTTCAATGATAATTGCAAAAATCAGGCATGTGTCTTTACCTGTCAGTGGCAGGTGCCCGGACTCCACTGGCTGCACTCTGACTACGCTGAGCCTCAGAGGTTTACTGTTCTCCAGCTGCTCCTCAGCCACATACAGGCCGTCACTCAGGAAGTAGTTCTCTGCACTCGTCACCCTGGATTTAACCGAAGAACAAACAGAAAAACCCAGTTATATACATGACTGTGGTTAGTGGTTATCAGTATTTATCCTCAAACAAACAGCACAGAACTATTCTATTGTCATTTTCCATCTTGCCCAGTGACTAGATCTTACTGATCTAGTCAGTAAATGCTGCAAATGCTGGCACACAAAAAGGTATAAACATGCATTGTCCCTTTAAGTAATATAATAATAATATTTTCAATTTAAAATTTGAATACTTTAATAATGTGTAAATCAAACCTATATGTAATTACAAAAATTTTAAAAAATCTATAATTAACAAAATGTTAATTCACAGTTATAATGTTCCTGTACCTGATGGTGGTGGTGGACCTGTCTCGTCCCACATGCAGCTGGTGGTGTCCCTCTGAGATCTGCTGGGCCCAGTACGGGTGTAACCAGGCCACAGAGGACACGTGCCCCGCGTACACCATGGGCATGATCCAGTTCTCAATGCTCAACTCACTGCAACAAGAGGCCAGTGTGGGTATAAACATGTGTGTCATTTAAACCATGTCATTTAAAACAGTGTGGAACTTTCTGGAGATGTCCCCAGCGTGATTCTACGGAAACAGAGATATCAAACCACTTTGGAATATTCTCCATGGGGAATCAGTTTAAAATATTGCCTACAATAAAAAAACAATTTATTTTTATTTTTATTGTAGTTATTGTTGAAAGTTACATGGCGGGACTTTCACTGCATCAGAGAAGAACTGCTAGAACTAAACACATTTATCCAGTCTTCTTAGATCAAGACTCATATATTGATAAATTAAGATAATATTGTTACTGATATATTGTTACTACCAGAAATACTGAGGTGTGTGTAGTAGTGTGATGTGAAAAGTTTGAGAACCACTGGAATACGTGGCTACTCACCTATGTAACTCTGTCTGTGACAAAACAGTTCCACATTTTCAGCCAGAGAAACTGACCTGAGGAGTTTGTCCTTGTCAAACACTGTGTCGGCAGCCATGTTGACTGGGATGAGCAGGTCTGGATGGGAGTCCAGGTGAACCATGGGTATCCCGCTCAGAGGCAGGTGTCGGGAGGCGATGGAGCGGTAAATGTGTTGCACCACCTAAAGTACACAGCACAGAGATACAATACTACAATGATAATAAAAAAAAACAAAACTTGACAATAACTGTTCATGGGGCATTTTATATAATCGTCATAATCACAAAGATAATCACCATTGTGTCACCAGGATGACAAAATACTCATCCATGTTCTTTTCTAGATCATTGATGTTTTCACTGATAAAGTAAAACACTATAACAGTTGGTTGAACATGGAACTTATTCACATCTATAAAATATAAACTCATATAATTATTAATATCCATAACATGTTTAAACTATCAGCAACTTTAATAATAAAAGTGATATAACCGTTACTCGCAGTTATGATGATAATCATGGATGCCAAATTTTAGTATCTCTCTGTGCCTATAACTGGGCATCCAGAGCTTCAACTTGAATTACTATTTTATTAACTATTTAGATGAAATGAAAACATGAAGCACAAAGCAGATTGAAAATGATCAATGGCTTTTTTTTTTTTTTTTCCCCAGTTTTGCCATTTTTAAGTGTTTCATATTTGAAATTCTCCTATAGTTTAGTTATAGTTTTTTAAACAAACTGTATGTAGACTGAGAAAAAAAAAAAAAAAAAGTTACTCCAATCACAGCTGAACCTGTTAATGAGCCTTAACCTGCAGATAAAGGACACATATAATTTTGTCTCATTCTCAGTATATGGATAGGCCATGCCTCATATGAATTTATTTAATGAATGAATAAATAAATTAATGATATAACACCTTTCAAGACGCTTTACAGTTCATTATTCATTCACTCCACACTCAGTGATAGCAAACTACTACTGTATTTTAGCCACAGCTGCCCTGGGGTAAAGTGAAGGAAGTGAGGCTTCCAATCTGCACCATCAACTTCACACTACTTTTTTACTAGACAATGTGGGTGAAGTTTCTTGCCTAAAAACACAACGACAGTTTGTACCACTAGCGCCACCCTGTGGCAGAGGATCTGACATTTGATTTGAACATGTCTTTCTTGCATCTAGGGACACAGATAGGTCGTGTTTATGAATTTAAAAACGACATTTTACACAGACTTTCTTTAATAAATGCGCTTGTGAATGCAAGTTTTGTCAATTTAAAACATAATTTTAAAACCAAAACTGTTAATGTTAAGAGAAATTATTTTCTGCATCTTACATCGTGGTGGTCCTCTACAATCCACACTGGCAGATTCTTGTATCTCCTCTTCAGTGGCACGGAGCTCATATTCACTTTATAACTCAACCTTAAGAATCGATTAAAGGCATTTCTGGACCAAACTGTGCGAAAATATCAAATAATAATGAGGCGCCATGGAACAGAAAAGCTAAAGATAACCTGCTGCTTGCCGTGCGCCGGAGACACCGGTGAGCGATCTGATTGGTCAATAAGGCCCGAGGGGCGGTATAGTTCAGGTCTGAGCCAATCAGATCAAAGAAAAGCCACTGCGTCGACCAATCAGAGCCAGTGAAATATGAAGGAATTCAGATTTGTTATTGTGTCCGTAGTGAAACAAGAGACAAAGAAGAATTCCGATTATTTTGAATTATTATACTTTTTTAACCAGTTGTTTTTCTATTTAAAATCAGTACGCTGTTAAATTAATACGTACAAAATAAAACATTTAGAGGAGGAAAACTGTCAATTTAAAAATGAGGACGTAAATCACCGACTAAAGGATCAATAGGTATTTAAGGGCCTCTGGTGGCTGTCGTTTGTCACTACAACTTCTCAGCCTTGACTTTTGACTGACATACAAACTTTAACTTCTAATAGCCACAAATGAAAGAGAAAAACGTGATAATAATAACAACGATTATTTGATGAGCTAATTTATATTACATTATTGTTGTTTCCCCTTGTTTAGTTTGATAATTTTATTCAAATAGGTATCTGAACAGGACTACAGTTCTCATTATGTCATACGGTTTTCAGGCTTTTTCTCAGAAACTTGACACAGCTCTGGAAGTTGTTTGTACCACACACCATAAGGGTTATTCAACGCTTCACTATAATTTGATTGATTTATATGAAGTGATGTTAAGAGTGAGTGAGTCAAACAGGCAGAAGTGTCTCTCTGCAGAGCACACTGTCCTACTACTATATCCAGTTATATGTCATGTCCAATTTTACATAAAAAACATAAAGAAGTGTTAATGAATTTGCAATTCTTTTCATTTTCATCGGCATATCTGATTAAATATTGCAAAACCTAGTCTGAAATTGGTGATGTGTGCATTTATGTACATCAAATAAACGAAAGAGCACAGGAAAACCCATGACTAAAGTTTAAGAGCTATAGTTCTAGTGATAAATGTTGCTTTTGGGGGATGATTTATCAGCTTTGAATTTAAAACGGCATTTTGCCAAGATAAAATGTTGTTTAGGATTTTGTGTGAAAATATAAATTTTCAATAGAGAAATGTTAAATATCAAATGTGTCAAAGAGATTGTAAAAACTTTATTTGACTTTATTATACATTGTGTATTAATAACCAGTGATCCTCAAACTACAATTCTGTGACATGTATGTTCTAGTGTTATTGCTTTTTACAGTATGCAATTAAATGTATTTCCTTGGAGACCAGCAGGTGATGCCACAAGCCCAAGTTAGGCACCTATGAAAAAGTGACCTCATTCATCTCTGTGCTGTTCCTGGTGAGGCTGACAGGAGGGAGAGAGGCACACTCTTGTCTGTTGTTGTTACCACATTAGTATTTCTATGATTTGGTTAGACTGTGGAGCCAGACTGCAGGATCACAATTTTGGCGTCTGGACCATCTGTGAGGACTCTGTGGAAAACGCTGTATGGGCCGAATTTGTTTAACGGCAATGAACCTTAGGGACATAAATGAATAAATATAAGGGCATTATGACTATGGACTACGAATCTCACTACAACATGAGTAATATCATTATTTTTAAGATTATACTATTCTCTTGCCTATTTTTGTCTAGTTTTTAAATTAAAGTCGAGTTTGTGCCTTGTGCAGACTGGAGCAGGTCCAGCTGTAATCTCACTTCTCGCTCAGAGCTGCACCGTTTGCAGTGTACGTGTAGGGTTATAATTTTAATTCCTGATCAGACAGAGGCAGCAGATGAGGGAGGGGTGGAGTCTAGACACATAAGGAACAGTGTGATTGGTCTAACAGGTATCCACACTTCAAACTCTGCCCCTGCAGCCAGATGTTTGTAAGAGAGACACCTGTCTGTTATCAGGGCAGTTTAGTCCGCCCTGGATGACACACAGAGTGCAACGATTGATCTGAGTAAAAAATAATTCCTGTAGTTCTGGAGACCAGGGGCCCGTCCGAATTAAGTTAAATGCACCTGCTTCGATGGTATTGATCCAAAATAAATGACTATGATTCTTAAAAGGGCCCATTCCACCTCGTTGGGGTCCCCCAAGGGTGCGTGCTGCGACCCCTGCTCTACACTCTGTTCATACATGACTACTTTGTGTGAACCACTGACTACCAACCTCTCTCTATGGCACTGAGGTGGTACACAGGGTGACCAGTTTAAAATTCCTGAGGGTGGCTGGGTCAGAGGACCTGGCCTGGGGCATTCACTCTGCCTCAGTGTTATAAGACCTCTGAGGGCCAACAATAACTGGTCTGAGGGCTGCACTTGGAAATACATATACACAAGTACTGTAATGACTTAAGGATGCTCTACCTGACTTTTACTGTCTTAGAAACATGCAAAAGAGAACTACGAACTAGTTCATTTTAAACGGCCAGAGGGACGTCTGGACGTCACAATAAGGCTAACAACAACAAGCAAGCTAACCATGCACTTACTGTTTACTGGACAACAAAATACTTATAATTAAACAGTACACCTCAAGAGCTGCTTGTACAATATAACTGTACTGCTCAAATATATGTGAACTAATCTGGTACCACCATCTCCAAAAATGTATGTGTATGTGTTTTATGTAACTGTGAACATTAAAATTATAATTTATATTCTAGTTGAAATGTATACAGTATTTCTGCTTTATTACACAGAAGTATTTAAAAAAATAAATAAACGCTTTGATTTCTTTTCTGATAAAATGTTGTGTGGTCCAGCCCCAGGACGAGGAGGTGCTGTGTAAGTTATGTAAGAATAAAATGCCACAAACTCATCAGATTTCCCCCTGACTTCACTGCTATTTGGTCCATATTATAACTTCATAACAAGAAATAGTTTAGGACTGGAATTTTCCAGGTTACGCCTTTATTTAGGAGCGAAACAGCAGAAAGGTTATGTGCTATTTATCTCTGTCACAGGTGGTTATGTCTGATGTGCTGTCAACTTGTCTGAACCACAGACTTATAGTTATATAATATAGCCAGGATATAGCCAGGATTTTTTCCTATAGTTATTAGCATTAGCCTTCAAAAAACACATATTATGAATAATGCAGTGGGTGTCAGCTGGTACCAACAAAGAGAATAAAGTTTCTGTTTATATGAGAAATGTTTCTGTGTATATAAGAGAAAAGTTAAGATGAACAAGCACAAAACACAAAATGCCACATGTCCATTCTTCTACATCCATGTTTGAGCGCAACTGGAGCGAGTCAAATCTGCACAGGTCTAACTCAACATCTCCTCAGGCCTCAGGAGTAAAATATACTGCTCAAAAAATTTAAAGGAACACTTCTGAAAGCACATCAGATCTCAAGATAAAAAAATATGTTGGATGTATGTCTATACAAATATGGAAATGGCAATGTCTTAGGAACAAAAGGATGCCACCTCTTTTAATAGAAATACATTTTTCATTTGCTTAATATCATAGACACCCTGAAAAACAAATAAGGATGTGGCAGGCTAGTCCATTTTCCTAAAATGTAATTTCTGCATCTCAAAATGCTTCTCAATCTTGTGTGGCCCCCTTGTGCTTGTCTGCATGTTTGACAACGTTGTGGCAGGATCTTAATCACATGACGGATGGTGTCTTTTGGGATGTCCTCTCAGATCTGTGTAAGGGCATCACTGAGCTCTTGTAGAGTCTGAGGAGGAACCTGGTGATGTCTGATGGACCGAAACATAATGTTCCAAAGGTGCTCTGTTGGGTTTAAATCAGGTGATCCTGAGGGTCATTCAATTGTATCGATCTCTTTATCCTCCAGGTTCTGCCTACAGACTCTTGCCACATGAAGACAGGCATTGTCATGCATCAGGAGGAACCCAGGACCTACTGCAGCAGCGTAGGGTCTGACAATGGGTTCCAGGAGTTCATCTTGATACCTAATTGCAGTCAGAGTGCTGTTTTCTAGCTGGTAGACATCTGTGCTTCCCTCCATGGATCTACCTCCCCAGACCATCACAAACCCACCACCAAACCGCTCATGCTGAACCATATTGCAGGCAGCAGTGTGTCCTCCCTACCTTCTCCAGACTCTTTCACGTCTATCACTGGTGCTCAGGATGAACCTGCTCTCTGTACTACTGTGAAAAGCACAGTAGTGGACTTGCCAATTTGAGTGTCGTCTAACAAATGCCAGTGGAGCTCCATGATGCTGGGCAGTGATAACAGGGCCCACTGCATTTGTGCTCTCAAGCCTCCCTCATGAAGTCTGTTCACACCAGTGTCCTGCTGGAGGTCATTCTGTAGAGCACGTGTAGAGCTCAACCTGTCCTCCTGCACAAAGGAGCAAATATGGGTACTGCTGATGGGTTAAAGACCTTCAACGGCCCTGTCCAGCTCTCTTGAGGAACTGCCTGTCTCCTGAAATCTACTCCATCTTCTGGAGAGTGTTGCTGGGAGACACATTAAATCTCCTTGCAGCAGCACAAGGAGAAGGAGGGAGAAACCTGAAATGACCTCCACATGTAAAACCAGTCCTGTTTTAGGAGTTGTCTCATTGGTGCCGGTCTAGTGCAGCTGTTGTTCATTTCCATTGAAAAAGGAGGCTTCCTTTTGTTCCTAAGACACTGTCTTGTCCTTATTTGTATAGATATTAAACATGTTTTTTTCATATTCATATCTGATTTGCTGAAGTGTTCATTTAATCTGTTCTTCACTGTGCCATCTGCAGATACTCATTTAACTCATGTTCGGTCTTAAAGTATAAAAGCCATAAAAACAGAATTAACCTCACTAGTATCAGTCAGTCAGTGGATCTGACCACTCAACCAATGATGTTCACGTCAAGAGCGGAATGCAAACCACCAACCTTCAGATCACTGTACAAATGCTCTACTAACTGAGCTACTGTTGCCCCATGGTATATGCACAGTTAGAGTTTTTTATTCTACTCCGTCGGTCTGTGAAGCGAGGGTGAGTCAGGTTATCTGTATTTACTGCCACAACCGGTCCAAACCTGCTCAGGGAAAAAAAAAGAAAAACGTGACATAAACCTACAACCTATGTGCACGAACTATAGCAAACTAATGAGCTCGTACTGTGTCAGAGGGTTATCCTGTCTCCTCTCAGTAAGGAGGTTGTGGGTTAGACTCCTCAATGTCCTCCCTTAGTATTCACAATATAGACTGTATAATACTACTATATGACTTTCATGGTGGAGGGTCTGCCACCTGCCTGTCTCTATGCATATTTTACTGCTTTATCTTCATGGAGACAAGCAAGTGGCGCCACCAGACCAAATTACATATCAGATCTGTTGAGAGGTGATTCTATTTATTCTAACAATGCATGTTTGCAAGACATTTTTGAATAGAACAGGGGAATAAATGCAGAGTATATAATTTTAATGTCTGTGGAACATTCCAGGCAAAGCAATTCGATTTCCATGGAGACGAGAAGGAAGCGGACTTTGACTAGAAAAGTGACTGAAATCTCTTTTCCTCTGCAGCGTTCACTTGAGCCCTTGGAGCGGGTCTGTTTGGAGCTGGGTGTTTTGGAGCGGGTCTGTTTGGAGCTGGGTGTTTTGGAGCGGGTCTGCTTGGAGTGGGAGCTGTTTGGAGTGGTGATTATCTTTCCAGGCCCCGGTCCAGGGCAGAGATGGGCATAGACCGTGTGGGACACTGATGTCACCCAAATGTTACAAATGTTTACTTTAGAAATACAATCTAAACCATACCTTAATTATACTCGATCTCAGAGATTCACAAAGACATATTTAGTAAATTCTGAGTTTGTGCCGCTGTGAGATGAGGCTATTTCCTTTATCGTCGTTGACTGTCTGCATTTATTTCTCTTCTCTGCACCTCTATAACACTAATAATTATTTTCTGTGTAGATCTGTTTTTTGCCATCCTGATGATGTCCTCACCCTCTGCGACCTTCTCCCAAGTCCCAAGACCCTTAGGAGGTAGTACCTCCTTGGTCCTCATGGATCATGGATCACCGCTCTGTTCCTCTACCGTTCTACACAGCCCTATGAAAACAAGACAAGTGCACCTATAGCAGTGACTCTCGCACATACACATAGCTGGGATTCCACGCGTAATAAGCAGCTTCACCCTTATGTCATAACATCAGCCTGCAGCGCTCTGTTTTCTGACTGTGGAGTGGACCCTGAACTGTCCACGTGTGAACTGAGTGACACTGCGCCGGTGCTCACTCTGGGTTAAAGGGGCAGTATGTAGGATTTCGATTATAAATCCCATTGACCTTATATCTGTGTCCTCAGATACGAGATAGACCTGCTCATATCAGAAATAGCTTTCACTGATAACACTTCTAATGTTGATTTATTCTTAGTGACAGCAACACTGTAAATGATGGCCCATTTTTTATGTTATAAGTTGGTCTTTTTTTTTTTTTCTCAAGAGGTTTATCCAGTCAGAAAGCAGAATGAGTTTCATTTGTGTTGCCAGTTTCAATGCTAAAATCCAGATGGTTTAAACCTAAAATGCCTCTCTCTGATGAATGGTCACTTCCTGAACCCCAGCACCTGCAGCCAGTAATGAGTCAGTGCTAGTGCAGCCTGAGCTTTCACATGAGGCCTGACCTTTACTGTATACTGAGACAAAATTGGATATGACTGTACCTGCAGGTGAAGGTATTGGCAACACGATGCTTGGGCTACACACATTTCCTTGAAAACTAACACGTGTTCACACTTTTTCTTCCCTCCTAATATTTGACAAAGAAGTGCATTCAGTTTAAATGACATCAGGTTTAGGCGCAAACAAGAGAAGGCTGTGGAATCATTTGTGACTTCAAATTGGATTGACCAAAGTTGCATAAGCGCATAGTTCTGTTAGAGAATCAGGAGGAGGAGCGGCTCATTGTTCTGGTGCACAGTGGCTCATTGTTGGCTCTGTATCTGTATCTCACTGTTTGGTGATTTGGCTCCAGAGGTCGAGGTCGAGTGTCGAGCCAAACTGCAATCGCCCCAATCACCCCATCTGTTTATGATGCACACCTGAAAAGTTCATTATTACTTTTTTGTAGGAGGTGTGCAATCGGCTTGTCTTGATGAAGATAATATTGCCTTGCTTAATCAATTAAACTAATTGAACTCTTCTTTTTTATTATTATTTTAAAATTCTATTTTTAATGAAAATGAACATGAAAATATACACTCTAACTCTGAGCTAGAAAACATCAAGTGCATCGTAATATTCTTGCCCTCGTGTTTTGTGGTAATGTGTAATGGAGTAATACTATAAAACGTGCCTTTTTCCCAATAAAATCTTTAAATTTTTAACACAACAGTTGGTTTCATGTAGATTAAAGCTGGGTGGAAGTGGTCATAAAGATTATCCTTGTAATGAGCGTGCGGTGGAAGCACTATAGCCAACAGCTCGTGTGATAGTGCTCCAGATAAACAGGTGAAGGTCAGATTAGCTAACAGGAAAAACTAGCAGCTCCGAGCCAAGTTCAAGGCCCTTCTATCTCCTACTGCGCATGCTATCCAGGAATTACAGGGATTCAGGCCCTTCGAAAAGATTCAAACAAATCAGTCATTCTGAACTGGTAAGTCAAGACCCAAAAGTGGATCACAGCATTTGCCATATGTATAAAATCTCTTCTTTACCCTCCGAAGGCAATCTCTCTCTCATCCTCATCCAGCTCAGGTTCTCTATCAGAGGCCTGGGAGCTTGAGAGTACTGCACAGTATCTTGCAGGAATAGAGGCTGCACTAGCTCTAACACAAGCACTCATTCATGGCATTTTAGGTTTACCAACTGAATTTCAGCATTGAAAGTGCCAACTGAAATGGTGCTCCAGCTGCAGTATGTTATACAAAAAAGCTCTGCAGAGGCTAGTAAAGGGAGCTGAGAGAGTAATCAGTTTCCCTCTCCTCGGTCCAAGAACTTAAAGAAGGCCATGAGTGTGTTTTAAATTATGTTCTTTTTATTGATACCTAGAGAAGCGCTATTTCATCTTGCCTGCACTACAGTCGTATGTACAGCAGTATGACATTAAAGACTGATTTCATTTGATTGATTTTAAATATTCAGGTTTGAGGTTTATTAACATTTTGGATTGACTTTAGATTTTCAATTATAAAATGAATCATAAATACAACTTGCCTAATAATTATGCACAGTGTAGAGAAAAAGGTTCACAAAACTCACAAATAATGCAAAATTCCATTAAATTTTCCCACTGTAGTTTAAATTTGACTTTAAGAAGATGCTGTACTTTACTGTTATGTAAATTAGACAAACTTGTTGCAGGTTATAGAGTTACATCCTCATATACTACTATATCTGCTGCCCCTGTCCAATCAGGAAGGTAAAAACATCCTCCAAAATCATCAAACTAGGGGAAACTAGGCCAAATGATGTGATTGTTGATCGGGGAATCAAACCCACAACCCTCCGTCACGTGACCAAAATAGTAAATATACAACACAACAACAAAGTGCATTCTTTGTAGTATCACTTGTTGTTTATTGCTTGAAATGTTGAATGTTTTCACAGCTAAACAAAACAAAATAAAAGTCTCTAGTCTGATACAAAAAGCTTATTATTGCCTTCATAGAAAATTAATGCACATGCAAAACATACAATTCTTATGTACATATAAACACTATTTACATATTCAGTCACTCTACACTGCAAAAAAAAACTAAAAACTTTTGACAATGTAAATAAGCTACTATTTGTATTCACTGCACCTTTCTTTGTTCACAGACAGAAGATTTTGCTTGAAAATTTAAATAGATCAAAAACACTGGGGCCTTAAGCAACATTTTAAATGAAAATTCACACAGTTAGTCAGTGAAGTTGAATGTCGTCTTGGGGCTCTATTCAGTTGTCTGGTCTACATTATTACATTAACAACATTGATACTTTGGTTTTAAGTATCTGCAGATTCCCAATACCAAACCGAGACTAAAGCAGAGACTGAAAATATTATTTATTTCCTTAATACTTTCCACTAAATTGCCTTACTGCACCAGTCTGTAGAGCAAAATGGGATATCGACTAAAATATTTTCTTGGAACTGATATCCAATTCACCCAAATTTTTACCGATATCCGATAACAGTATTGTATCAGTGCATCCCCACTGATAATAGTATTGCATTATTAAATAATTAGTATACAATTTATAATTTTAACTCTATGTTGACTTTGTCTCTGCACTAGTTTGCATTGGCTGGCATTGGTTATCAAAGTATTGATACTTTACAGCTGATGTCATCCTTACACCTACTGACACCTAGTGCCTCTACTCAATTTCTTTTCTCTCCATCGATTAGGTCAGGAATCGAAATACACTAGACAGTTTGCAAGAACCCCAGAAGTGCGAGTTCAGGCACCGGCCAATCAGAGAAGAGCCATCCATTCTGTGTTGGCAACCATTCCTGAGATCGAAGATTTAAAGCCGGAACAAAGAGAATGTTTGGTGAATTTTATCAAGGGGAAAGATGTTATTGCCCTTCTTCCTACGGGATTTGGGAAAAGCTTAATATACCAGTTATTCCCGTAAGCGGTGCATTACATAAGTCACGATCAAATAGTGGCGATTGGTTAAATAAAAAAAGTACCGGCCTACGGTTGAGCGAACAAATCCTAATGCTGCGAGGTCAGATGGTTTCCACAAAGTGAAACCGGCTGATGAATCAGGCTAACATTTACTGGGGGTGTGATGCTGACTGGATGTGCTGCTCTGTCTGAAGCTCTGTTACTCAACGTAGACTTTAATCTGTTAATCTAAGTTTTTTTTTAACACTATCTGGCGTGAAAAAGAATTCAGTTGAAATTACAACAGATCTGTGCCGTTAAAAACTCTCCTACAGTCACAAACTGTTGGAAATGAAACACCTACATAGGACCATGATTCACAGACTTTGGAAAATGTGCTTAAATAAGTTAATTCATTAAAAACTATTGTCAAAACTACAAAATAAACATGTAAAACAAAATAACAACTAACACAGAGATCCATTTTTACAGTGCAGTGTCCACTCTTAGCGTCCTCTTTAGTGTCCATAGTCATGTCCTGTTTAGCTCGCGGACCGTAGCTTGTATCTGAAGTCCACATCGTAGGTGGGCTGGAGGATGCCCAGGCCGGCGCGGGATTGGTCGAGGGGCGGAGCTTTGCTGGCGGGATCTAGTAGCTCCATGTCGAAGTAGGACAGTACAAGGGTGAGGAACTGTTTGATCTCGTAGACGGCGAAGAAGCGCCCGGGGCATTTGGTGACGCCCGACCCGAACGGCATGTAGAAGTATCTGAGGCGGCGGCCGTTACGGAAGAACACCGTCTTCTCCTGACCGTTCTCGTCCAGGAAGCGGTCATACTTGTACTCCTGCAAGAAAAAAAAATACAATTGCAATTCACTGTTCTTATATGACTAATGTTGTTAAAGTTGACTCTTGTGAGCTTTAAGTCATGTTAGAAGACTGTTACTTCCTCAAAAACAGACCAGGAGTTGTGTTTTGTTTCATTCACACATAATACAGAGTTTGAGTCTTTATAATTAATCTGTTGACATCTCCAAAGCTCAAAATGCTCTGTTCCACCTTGTGATGTCATGAAGCGGTACTTTTCAAGGTAACAGCTCCTTTTGCCTTTAGTTCAGCAGAGATCGGCAATTCCAGAGCTGAAATTATCCAAATGATTCTAGTGAAGATGTATGGAGTTTAAACAACAGTGGAGCACTTACTGTATTACCACATGACATCACAAAGTGGAACAGTGTTTTCTGTTTAAGAGAAGAACTCAGCCTAAATATGCAGGATTTGTGTGTTAAATATGAAACAAAACACAACTCCAGGTCTGTTTGTGATGAAAAAAACAACAACATTATAACACAGATCAGAAAACAGCGTAATATGGACCCTTCAGAGTAACTTTTTGTAAGATTTTTATTTAAAATTTCATAAACATGACCTTTCTGTGTCCCCAGATAAGAGGTAAAAATTTCCAAATCAAATGTAGTTTTTATTGACAATTCTAATGCTGATTGGACATGAGGACCAAGTTGTTAAAATGCTTCTCTCTGATCTGAATGGTCACTACCTAAACCCCAGGACCTGCAGCCAGTCATGAATCAGTGCAGGAATTCTGGACGTTCTGAGTTTTCACATGAGCCATGACCTGTCCATATATTGACTCTATTCCCGCTTACGTCACAAACCAGGAAGACATTTGGAAACATGCAATGACAACTTCTGGTGTAGTTCCCGACACTGGGCACCGACTGATAAAACCCACTGAAGTAAATGTGATCAGCGGTAAAATGAAGACTGCATACTTATGTGCTTTTTGGAATCATCTTGAATTTGGCGCCACGTCTCTTCTAATCGCATGTGAGTTGTGTGTCAGTGAGGAAATGATGAAAACTGAAGTATGGTTGTAATTGTTGATTAGCCGGACATAACCCAACACTACAATGACATGGATATGAAGAAAACGGGGACATTTTCAAATTTTTCCTAGATTTTGTCAGACTTACTACCACGAACAGAGCCCTACGGAAGTTGTCATCGCATGAATAGAGCCCAGTGAGAATGAGAAAAACTTGGATATGTTCTCTATCTGCAGGTTAATGCTTTGGCAACGCAGATTCAGTTGTGATTGTAGTAACGTTCTTTAAACACTGAGAGTGCAGCCTAACTAATGTTTTTGTCAGAGGTGGTGCGGTTGAAAAAGAAAGTGTTTTACCTGTCTTGTCACATTGTTTCTAAAATACAAATCAGTTCATTTACACTTCTACACACATACTACAGTAATAATACTCTAACACTACCACCTCTTCTTATGTGTGCCTATATAACACACTTGTTGTCTTGACATAACTCTGATAATGTCTCTTACATAAGGGTCCTCGTAGATCTCGGGGTCGTAGTGCAGCATGGGCGGGTACAGGGCGATGACATCGTCCTTCCTTATACGGTAAGACTCCTGGTTGTCAAGGTGGAGCTGGAAGTCCTCCTTAGCGACACGGATGTTGAGGGAAGCGCTGGACAGACGCATGGCTTCTTTCATAATGCTGTCTGTGGAAACAATAGGATAGATATGCACATTATTGTTATGTAATGAATGTAACTTTGCTGCATTTGAGAGTGGAAAACTAAAAAAATAAAACTAAAAGATCAAATCTGTACCAAAACAAAGTGAAATCTCAGTGAAGAATACTATGGCGGAAATCAACATTGCAATACATTTGTAACTTTCTGGAGGTGGCACGTCACCTGCATGATTCCATGGAAATAGAAAGTGAAACTACTTCGGATTGTTTTCCATGGAGATAGATATCATACTGTGGAACAACATTTCCGTGTGTACAAGGAGGATGAGGCCCAGATCAAATAACAGGTTATATCAGGTTTGTGGAGATGCAGGCCCACTCTTCTTAAGAATGCATGTTTGTGTAATAGACACAACCAAAATGAAAATTTAAAATGTGACAGAGAGTTCCTTAAAGCTATACTTGGAAAGTGCAGATAAAGTTCAAGACTACATACATAGTTAGGCCAAGAAATCCATATCAAGACGAGGACTAAACTGGGACTAAGCCTGGAACTAAAACAGAACTAGAGGGGACTCAAACCAGGCCCATATCACAAAACAAAAAACCGGGGCCAAACTAAGGCTATGTTTACACTGAAATGAATCACTGTATCATTGTATCACCGTATTGGAAACGATCTGTGTCCAGACACGTCGTTTCTGTGTCCATAATCCTTCCCTATCCACACAGCTTTGAGCATATTTGTTTACGTTTTACAGAAACAGAACTTAAAACTGCATGGCTAATTTGCATAAACTAAGCACTCAAAAAATAACTCGCTATTGTGCGCTGATGCGGTTCTGTCGGACTAAAGGACATGACTCAGGGGAATACCAGTGTTCTTTCTGTGGCAGAGGGATGTTTTGCTGATGGTGAGTCTGTTCTGTGCTTCTGTCGTGTTGGAGATGGTTCATGTTAAACTTTTCAGAGATTATACGTCTGCAGATCATACGCATAGACCGTATATATGAATGGACATATATTCTAGCCTCTTAGTGTTTTAGCCGTGAATTACTTCGCGGTGCATAGACCTACATCAGCGTATCAGCGTTTTCAAAGTCGTACTCAATTGAATTCATGGGAGCTGGCAGCACCAGATCGTTTCGTCTCTGGAGCCGTTTTCCATCAGGTTAGTGTGGATGAACACTGCATCTGCAATGAAAACGACTCCAATACGTACTAGTGTGGACGGGGCCTAAGATGAGTGTGAACACAGTCATAGCTTATTGTAGAATTGTGATGAAAATGTGAGACTATTTTCATAGAAATCAACACATTAAAAAAAAAAATTCTGTCTGTTGAAGGGTAAAAGTCTTCAAAATGGAGCCTATAAACAGAAAGATGAAACCCAGGAATAACATAAGATATAATAATAACAATAAGAGAAGAGAAATCGCAGTACTATCTCATAATCACATCTCATAAACACATGTATATCTGAATCATGGTGTAGAGCTCAGAATTGCGTACCCAGGACTGGCATATTGTCGAGCTGGTCGCGGTCCAGAGTGAGGGTGGGGTTATTGGGGTCAGGGGTCAAACCGGCTGCATCCAAAACTCTCTTCACCTCCTCCTTCGCGGCTTTCAAGGCCTCAGGGCTCCTGCGGATACAAGGAAACACTTTCATTAAAAAACAGTACTCATGATAATAAAACATAATAACAATTAATTAGTCATACTGTGTAACATCGTGGAGGTGGCACAGGACTTGCAAGATTCCATGGAAATAGAAAGTTAAAATAATTCTTTGGAACATTTTTATGGAGATGGACACGTTTTATGCCACACTGTAATATTATTGCTGGGTTTCAGATGACATCACAGCAATATATAGGCCAATGCTATTTAATACAGATGATGGGCAGATAAAAATTGTTCATCTGCAGATTTTTTTGTAATATAGCATAGTCTTGGGTCTAGTCAGTAATAGAAATGATTGGGTTTGATGTTTGGGCATTTACTTTTCTGATATTTCATGGCAAAGTACAAGATCGTTAAGAGGAAAAACTGGCGCTTTGCCCCCGTCTGGAAGCATAACATCATCACATTATAGAATCTGAAAACTACCAATAACCAAAGGAACATTTCCTTGGAAACAAGCAGGAACACACCCTCCTCCAAGCCAAGAGTCAGGTTTGTGGAGATGCAAGCCCCCTCACAGTAAGGACCCACACTGAGCAATATCTTTGAGTTGAAGTGACACAATTTTCTCTTTTGTCTTTGTCACAAACACGTTCTTTTGTTTGGATTGTGTTGAATCGACACTAAATACAAAAGAACACAAAGCGCTTGTTGGGTTTACATAATGGAATAGTGGACACTTGTTGCACATGGCTTATTTGGGTCGATTCTTCTCCATCAAATGTTGCCAGTGACTTGCATGAGTGAGTTTATTGTGACACAGTGGTTCCTGCAAAACATCATGTCAATTTAACACTATTATGGACTGTTGGCTTAACACTATTGTATCACATAGAACCAAATCAAATATTGTGTGTGCAACAAGTGTTTACTATTCAGTTGTGTTGATTCAACACATTTTTTCTAGGTTTATGCAACTTTATGCTATTCATGCATTTAAAAATTTGCAATATAAGCAATACTGCAATAACACCTTATGTCAAGAGTCATCAAAATAATGCCCATGGCCTGACTCCGGCCCGCCACGCTCCTTTGACCGACCCCCCAGCCTCTTTGCCCCCCTCCACTTGAACTGGCCCTATGAGGCAATCTTTTTCGCAAATAATGACACATCTGCATCTTGCATTTTGTTGATTTTTTTCAATTAAAACATTATATTTATATGAAGTATTTGTATTTATTTTTAAATAATTATATGACGTATTTACATTTGCCACCAAATTTTTGTAACCTGACAAACTGAAGATCAAACAGTGACAGTCAACGCACGTGTTTTGTAGTGCAGTTAAGAACAGTAAAATGACAAGTGTTAAAGTACCAAAAGTTGACAGAGAGTGTCGAGTTTTCAAAGAACAATGGACGACTGATTATTTTATGTTCAGTGTAAGGACCGTGCAGTTTGTCTGACATGTAAAGAAAGTGTGGCGGGTTTCAAAGATCATAATCTGCGTCGTCAGGGTCATACAATTCTGTTATATGACTCCCTGACCCCATCACAATCAGGAGCGATAATGTGGCCCCCAGAGAAAAACATTTGGTGACCCCTGCCTTATTTCATTATTGTAAACGTCAGACCTACATGTAAGTTCAACAATTTTGCATTCATTTTACAGCAATGAACACGTCTGACTAACTTCAAATGACGCTGTCTAGTTCATGGGTCAAAAACATGATGATCACTATTATTCTGCTCTTCTTCAATTAGCTCGCATGTCAGGTCTTGTACACAGCTAACCTTTCATTCATGCACACACACACACACACATACGTACAGTCCTGCAGTGATAAGAGTGACATAAGAGTACACGATAACCAGAACCAGCGATAAGCACAGATACTGAACAGATGTGCTGACAAGGCACTGTCTGGACACGACTTTTGGACACACACACAACATCCAAAAGTAGGTCTGCACAATTACAACTGTAATTAAATTAAAATCACAATCTGAGTTGAAGAAATATTATCAAATCACAAAGACTGAAACTTGCATTCTCAGTAAGGCTCATTCTGCTTTCTGCTTGAATAATTGTCTTGAAAACCAAATTATAATGACAATTTTTTTTGTAATTGAGAATAAATCATCTTAACAATTGTCACCAGTGGAAGTTATATTAGATTTTAACATGTTTACCTCTATCTGGGGGACACAGATAGGTCAGGTTTATCAAATTTCAAACCAGATATTTGTTTATGAAATATTCTAGAAGAAAATCACAATTCTTGCACTACTTTTAAACTCACGCAAAGCAAAACTGTAAAAAACGATGGACACGCCTCCTTACAACTGGAGTGCTCCTTGTTACCTCACATTGATCTCAAACCTGTTCTACAAGCCATTAAACGTCTTAGAAGCTCCGTGTGGGCATGACTAATATATTTTTATGTTTCCTTGAGCGGGCAGTGAGTGATTTTGTTTTGCTTTTATGTAATACCTTGGTGAGAGTGCTGACTCAGTCTACACAGGTTTAAAACGGGTGGGTGTAGTTGAATCACTCTCAACTGCTCGTGAAGAAAATAATAAATTGTAATTCTATTTTCACTTCATTTTTTATAGTTCACTTACATTTTAAAGTCCTATATTACACAGAATTGACTCGTGTTTAGTTCGTTCGCGTTCACACATGTTTGAATAATCCTGAGTTATTAGTCTGTCTTCATCTCCAAAACTCAAAATGCTCTGCTCCACCTTGTGATGTAGTGAAGTTGTGTTTTTTTTCAAGTTAAAGGTGCACTGTATAACTTATGAGGTGGATTGTTGTTATTTCTTTGCCTGGAATGTTCCACAGTGGTGCATTAAAACACTTCTCCCTTGCATGTGTTTAATTATGTGTGTTTTATTGCTCAGAAATCCCTTAAAAACATATATTCTTACCATGTGCATGCTTGCTTCTCCATAGATCTGATCATTCACCTGTCCCCATTGTGATTACCAAGTTGATTTAAACATCTAAACATGCAGGGTTTGTGTGTTGAACATGTGTGAATGAAATAAAACACCACTCCAGGTTTGTTAGGGATGACGAAACAACATTATAACATAAATCAGACAATAGTGTAATATGAGCTCTTTAAATATAGGAACAAATGCTGTCACCTAAATTCATCCTGCAAGACTGTATGCATTTTTGTAGTAAATATCTATCTCTTAAAGAGCCTGTGGCCTCATCTTTCATCATCATCTTTCTCCTCCATCCTCAAGCCTAACTCAAAACAAAGAAAACAATAGGGATAGCCAGATCAGGCCCAGAAGTGTGAAAGCTCCATTATGGCCTTGAATGATTATGCTAATATGACCCCACACTCAGAGCAAGATTGATAGGCCTAGTTAACTTAGGCTACGTTCAAACTGCAGACTGAAGTGACTGAAATCCGATTTTTTCACCCCTATGTGACCTGTATCTGATCTTTTAATGACAGTCTGAATGACACAGATCTGATTTTTCCAAATGAGACCCAGGCCACTTGTAAATGTGCTCCTAAAACTGATACATATCCGATCTTTTGACATACGACTTCAGTCTGAACGTCCAGGTCGCATTCATCCCACCTACACTTCAGGCTCGGAGTCTAGCCAATGGAGGGAAAGCAAGGTTAGCGAGTTTATTAATATTTGGGGGGATTGCTGTATTCAGACCAAATTGGAGGGGTCTTATCGAAACCAGGCGTTTTTTTAAATGGCGTTCTTGACTCCAATGTCAACAAAAAATAAAGAGCGTGCGAGCCAAATACAAGGAGGCTAAAGACTCAAACAAACGAAGCGGCCGTGGACATGTAACCTGTCCATTTTACAAAGAACTCGACCGTGTTTTTGGAAAAAAGCCCAGCGTTTAGGCGACTTCCGTAAACACTGAGCATGTTCGCTGTGTGTGACGTCGTCCTGTCCTCCAAAGCACATATCGGGACACTTTTGGGGCGATTAAAGTTCACACTGGAGGTCACATACAAGTTGCATTTAATTGGAAATGTGAACAACCTTGCAGAAATATTGGGTTTCACAATAAAATACGAAATGAGTATTGCAGTTTGAACGGTCTAACAGAAACAGTGTTAGTTCCAGAGTAGTTTCAGTGTAGTTAGCTCCTCCCTTCAGACAGAATTAAGGCAGTGTCCTCCAGCGTCTGACCAAAACCAGCAACCAGCAAATTTAATTTCTTCTTTGGCTATTGCATCAGATTCGTCCAGTTGCTTTGTACAGTTTTGCATCCTGTTTTTGTACAGTATATTTATGGAGAATTGTGGGCGGAGCCTTTCACAGAATCTGTAAGGAGGGTTTGAATAGGGCCCTGGGAGAGATCACCAAATCACTCAAACATGCATGGATGACGACTACAATGTTTTTAATTTGTTCACAATTACAAAACCTTTTACATGATATTCAACTTTTTTTTTTGTCCTTAACTTACGTGTGTCTTGGTTTAAATGACTGAACTGTATTAAACCTTTGCCGTATGTTAGGGCGCAGTTTGAAAGCGTGTGGTACCTGATCATGTAGAAGAGGCTCCAGAAGGTGGCGGGCAGCGTGTTGGCCTGGGACGCCCACAGCAGAGCGACGTGGGTGCGTGATTTGCTGATATCGTTGAAAGTGGACAGGGAGTCGTTGAGGAGCATGCGCATAGAGATGAGGTCAGACACGTTCTCGCGTTTGCACAGCTTCTCCGGCCGCATCGTCTTCGCCAGGTTCTGTGGGATGCAAGAGGACACTGATTTAGAACCATTCTTCTTCTAAAATATTGATACTTAAAGGTGTAACTTTTGGTTCAAATACAAACGATCAATACTGACAATAAGAAAAACTTGTTTGTGGTCTCTAGCTGCAGCTTAAGTGCTCTGGCAACACAGGTTCAGTTGTGATTGTAGCACAGTTTTTAAACTGTAAGAGGTGATAGGTCTTTAAATATACACATTCACCCACCTCTCGGGCACTGTAGGCGCTCTTGAACACGTGGATGGGCAGCCCGGCCACCAGAGCGGGGAAGATCTTGTCGAACTCCTTGAAGTTCTCGAGCGCGTTGAGAACCAGGGATTTCTGAGCGGCCTGCCTCGCCTGACACTTGTCTTCACCCAGCTCCTTCCCGAAGAGCGTCAGGTACCCGGCCTCGAACATCACCTGAGGAGCACGGGCAGAGCAGAGCTTACAGACACTGTACATGAGAGACCTTTCAACAAGGACAGGCTGAAACGGAAACTGAACGCAAACTGAAACACTACACATACGTACATGAGTATAAAAAGCGCTGTTTCATTATTGCAGACTATTACAGATTGCAAGTACTGTACCGTATTTTTAGGACTATAAGTCGCACTGGTTTGGGTGGTTCGGCGATTCATACTCCGGTGTGACTTATATATTAATGACATATAATTATATATTAATGACATATAATTATATATTAATGACAGCCACAATGAAGTTGCTCAGAAGTGACACCGAGGATGAAGAATTGAATGGATTTATTGACTTGGAGTGAGATGGAGAGTTTGTTAAACTGTGTTCTGTTCTCTTTTTTATGTTATAGTTTATCTGAAAAACCTGTTCATATGTGACATTAAGCAGCCTGTTGTTCTCTGTTTTATTGTTATTACTGTAACTTGCCTTTCAAGATGAAATGTTGGTTCCTGGGCTGTGATTTCATTAAATAAATTTCCCCCAAAAAGTGTGACTTATTGTCTGCTGTGACTTATATATATTTTTTTCTTCTTCATTATGCATTTATTGGCTGTTATGACTCATAGTCCGAAAAATATAGTATATATCATATCATTTAAAGCAACAGTATGAAAAATTTTAAGGTAAAATATACTAAATTAAATGCATGTTTCTTTTAATTTTGGCTGTTTTAATTGCAAACAAACTGTAACTGGGCTAACATCTCCATAAACCTGACTCTTATTTGGCCTGGAGAAGGGGCCTCCTTGTTCTGTTGGCTAAAATCTACCAATAGTATGGCATAAAACTTCGAGGAGAATGTTCCGCAGTATGGTTTTAATTTTCCATTTCCGTGGTGCAGGTGATGTGCCTCCAGAAAGTTACATAATGTACTTTTAACATGCGCAGTACAAGTATGACCAAAAATATTGTTTTGACTGACACTCTTCACTGATGCATCAAAGCATTCGTTTGTTTTGACAGACACAGTGTCTTTACTTTAGTGTTTGTTTGTCTAAGGGTGTATCCCATAATGCTTTGCAATGTGATGCTCTGTGTGATGTCTATCAGTGTGAAAAGTGTTATTCCAGGACTGAGTCTCAAGCAGGACTTCAAACTTCTGAGGAGTAAACCCAGCAGCTATGGAGCAGCTATGGAGCTCAACAGTGACCTGCTCCTTTTCCAGAATATTTCTCATTAATTTTTCCCATAAACTTTTCCAAACATTCAAATATTAAGAGTTCAAAGACAAGATTCTGCAAAATACTTTTCGAACTTTACGGTTTATAAGCTGTCAGAAACAGACTTTAATAAAATTCTGTCTTGTGGTCATTAGTCATCATGTAGCTGATTATTTTCAGGTAAGTCTATAGGAAAAATTAATTACAAATTTAGTTCCGTCAGTGCTGCGCTCCATGACCAAACATCTGAAACATTTAAGTCTCCAGACCTTGTAGCAGAAGGCGAAGATGCCGTCCACCTCCCAGCTATGGGTGCTGGGGTGCAGGGTGTCAGAGCGCAGCATGACGTCCTGGAGGTGGCCCATCATGGTCTGGATGAGGTGGGGCAGAGCTTCTCCTTGGAGGGTCTTCAGGAAGGTCTGGTGCAGGTTCTCTGTGGTGTGGCCATGCCGAGGGTCGAAGCTGTCGTGTCCAAATGCCTACGAGAGGAAAGGAGCTTACTGAAGATGCTCTGATATTGATCTAAAGCTGAACTGAAACCAGAGGTGGAGGAAGTACTCAATTTACTTATTGTTTCTTAAAGGTGCATTGTGTAACTTTTCAGGTGGAGGGACCATCAAATGATTTACTCCATAGAGAAATTATCACTTTGTTTGGAATGTTTCACAGTATGACATTAAACCTTTCTATCTTCATGGAGACCAAACCAGACCAATTCATAGGTCAGATCTGTGAAAAGGCAATACCGCTCAGAGTTAGAATACCTGTTTTTCTAGGTATTTTTGAGCAATAAAACCACCTGTAATTGTATAAACTTAAGGTAAAGCTCTTTAATGTCATAGTGTGGAACATTCCAGGCAAAGCAATGACATCTCCACAGAGAAAAGAAGTTGATGGACTCTCCACCAGCAAAGTTACACAATGCAACTTTAAGTAAAAGTATAAATACCAGAGCAAAAAGACACTCAGGTAAAAGTATCACATGAAAAAAATTATTTGAATAAAAGTATTAAAGTTTAAAAATGTACTCAAAACTTCAGTAAAGTAAAAGTAAAAAGTAAAAATATTTTGTGCATATTTTGGCATCTTATAAGGCTCCAAATGTAGTGATTTTGATACAGATTTGTGCTGCTTTTTTTTCAACTGAATTGCTTTTCTAGCTATTTTTAGGTGTAAATGACCATGTTTGTTTTTCACATGAATGGCCCATGTGTCTCTCTGATTGGTTAATCCACCTGTCAATCACACCCTCTGAAATCAGAGACAGGACACAGCTCCAGATCCACTTGTCTTTGCAAAGTTTTGTGAAAGCCTGTGGTTCTGGCTGGACAGGTAACGAACCACCAGTGTCAAACGTTAAAGAGAAACAGAAGTAATCCAGCCTGGAAATCGAACCCGTGACCTTGTAGTCATGCTACACTCTCAGAGCTGGAACGTAACAAAGTAAAAGTAGTAAAGTACTGTACTAAAGTATGAATTTTTGGTATCTATGCTTTACTTAAAACATTTTCAAATAGATACTTTTACTTTTTTTAACTTCACTACATTTGAGAGCAGGTATCTGTACTTTCTACTCCACTACATTTTTGAACTGGACTGAAAAGCAAAAGTATTTCATTTTTTATTATAGTATGAGACCTGCCTGTTTATTTTTAACACATTTGTAATTTGAATAAATTAAAACATACAAATAAAACTGAACAATTAACTATTACACAAAATTCTGCACAAATCTGTATCGAAATCACTACATCTGAAGCTTTGTAAAATCTCAAAATATACACAAAATACTTTTAGTTTTTAATCCTGAAGTACATTTTTAAACAATTTTCCATCAGAGGGTCCACCACCTACTTGTCTTCGTGGAGGTATTACTATTTTGCCTTGATTATCCCACAGTATAGAAATAAACTTGGTTATCACATGGAGGTAGGTCAATGGAGAAGCAAGCCAGCACATAGTAAGAATTCATGTTTTTTTTTAAGGTATTTCTGAGCTATACAACACCTTTAATTGAACAAATGCCCTACTGTGGAACATTTCAGGCAAAGAAATAACATCTCCAGACAAGCAAGTAGAGAACCCTCCTGCTTCGAAGTTGCATACTGCACCTTTAAGACGATTTTTTCATGTGATACTTTTCGTTTTACTCGAGTATTTCTTTTCTCTAGTATTGTACTTTGAGTCGATCCAGCCCTGCTCACGGCGGTGTTACCTTGACAGACGTGGCAAAGTGGAACTTCCTCCAGTCCAGGTGGCGCCCCTGGCGGATGACCGAGTGGTAGGAGAAGGGGTCACACAGGAAGTGGATGTACTGTCCGGCGATCTTACAGGTGAAGATGTGTCCGTGCTTCCTCTGTCTGCTCCTCAGGAACGCCAGAGGGTTCGCCCCAAACTGAAGAGCACAGCCCAGGTACGGAATCAAACCATTCTCCACCGCAGGCTCACCCGGCTGTCTGAGGAGACAAGGAGAGGAGGAGAGGAGAGGAGGAAGAGAGGGGGAGA